CTAAGATATTCATTTTACTACGAAATGGATTAATTCGAAGAAATTCAACTTTGCAACTAAGATATTCATTTTACTACGAAATGGATTAATTCGAAGAAATTCAACTTTGCAACTAAGATATTACGATATCGTTAAAATTCATATTCTTTTCTTTTTCTTTCAAAATTACAATTAAAACGTTTTACTGCAGTAAAATGAAAAAAACATTGGGAAAAAAAGTGGTTGAAAATTAAAAGTTTGAAAAAAATTCGACTAAAATAACATTATGCTAATCATTTTCTTTCTTTTAAAATATTTAACTAAATTTGATAGATTGAAATGAAAGAAATATTTCTATTGTATCTCATCTTTTCTTATTGTTGATCGGTTACTGAAATTTGTATTCATATCATTCTCTTATTCCTTCTGAATGATATTAAATAATAAATGATATCGCAAATGTTTGCTAACTTCGGATAAGTTTAATTTGTCACCAACAAATTTTTTTTTGCACAAAGTTTTCATTTTGTTATTGTTATTATATTATTCTAAAATAAATCAAAAATCCATCTCAGAATAACACTCAAAGAGAGAACTAACTGATAATGAGATTTTTATCCTATGATTGCGACGTTTTAACGTTTTGGCGTATTTCTTTCATTGTGATTAATATGAGATTGATTATTCATAATATTACGGATATTAGGAATCTTTCATTGCGATAAATGTTAGATTGATTATTCGTAATATTACGGATATTACGAATCATTTTTGATTTTGTCGTATTGACGAAGTAAAAATGAAAGAAACGAAAGATGAAAAGAGTAAAAGCTAAAAGAAAATTCAATTTGTATTAGCTATTTCTTCTTATATTCTTTTGTTTTTGTTTACGTTATTTAATTTCGAAATGAGAAATTAAAAAACAGAATAGAACCAATAAGAGATGCTGTCCGATTATCATTCATAGATTTCCTTCCACTCAGTTTCTACCAGTCACTTTTGGATTCAATCAAGAATTAAGCGTAAATAGAAAGTAAAATAACAGAAATATAATTTAAACCACTATAATATAATAATTTTACAGCCATATGGTTGAAATTATTTTCCTTATTAATATATCCGTAACAGAGATATCTTCCAAAGCTTGCGTAATTGTAGAGTTCACTGTAGAATATCCCTTTGCAGTAGAGCATCAATCTTCTTGTGCTTTTAAAGTGAAATTTCGATTGAATTTGCTACCCCATTCATCATTTTGCTACCGTCTTCGAATACTTTTTCGCTCATATGTATATTATTTATGTTCCTGCAAATTGCTTCGATCATTGAACCCTTTATCGCATTCATCACATTTAAATGATCGTTCATTCTCGTGTATCCGTTTTTGTGCTTATAGATTACTATGATTACTAAATCTCTTGCCTTTTGCCATAGATCATATTTGAATGGTTGTCATTTTTGTGCATCTTTATCTGTTATTGCAAATTATAGAACCGTTTGAATTCTTTATCGCACATAACATATATGAGTAGTAATTCGTACCGTATATCGCAGGTAGACGGTATGTCTGAATCTTTTGTCACACTAATTGCACTTCTACAATCTCTTACCCTATACATTCATCCTCATATAAACTTGCAATCTGCTTAAATATCTGAATAGAATATCGTACAACCACATCCAAATCACTTTACCATCCATCCCTACGGTATCATTAGCCATAGTCATTATTTCATTGTTATTTCTCTTTCCGCGTATTGATGAATTGTGTTGAAAAATGTGGAACGGAATTTCAAGAAAAGATATGAAAATGATGAGAAACTCTACGACATATTTGTCACTTATCTATTCTGGGAGATTTTTTAATTAGATTGAAATAAATAAATTTTGTTAAAACAAAGCGAATAGAATAATTAATTACCTTAAAAAAAGGGGTGAATTAATTATTTGGATAAGTAATTTGATTTCATTTTCATGTCTTTGCTCAATTTTAACTTTAATTTTTTTCTTTCACATAATTGTTTTTTCGGATTATTTACACTTCTTAGATTCTTTCATTGATTTCCGAAAATTTGATGACAGTTATATAGAGCCAAGCATAAGAGAAAATACTTTGGCAATCTTCTTATGTATTGCTGTAGTAAGCTCGATTTTTCTAATTTATTTTTTCATTCAGCTAACACAATGTTCTGCCATGAGAATTCTAGTGATTTTAAAAGCCATATCGCGTGGAAATCTTATGTGGAATTAATTGAACACAAATAACATACCACTTTATAATAAAATTACTGTATTGAATGTCGACATGTAATATATGCTAAAATTCTCCCAAACAATTAATACATATACAAATATCTTTCAGCATCAAACTTCATAATGTTATTCTTAACTTATCTTATTTTTAGCTTATCTTAATTTAGAGAGTTACCTTAACTCTCGAAAATTTAATTGTTACCTCATAATAATACAGGTTTGTTATGCTTACGTTTAATTGAGGCTATTTTTATCATCTATGAAAGAAAATTTCCGTTTTACAGATTAAGAAATGTCCCAATAGTTGGTTGTATTAAGCGGATATAAAGATAAGCTAGAAATTTGTAGGCGAATAATTGAATGCAAAAATATGACGTATATTTATCATTCAAGTATTCTAATTATTAGCACGCAATTGATAAATAATAACTCAAAAACTCTGAAGCAAGAAATTGAATATTTTCTTGTCCATCTCGAATCTATTCATTATGATTAACCTCAAGATAATAATTCGTTTGATATTTATGTAAATAAAATTTTACTTGAAAATTTTTGAGTAATAATTTCTCAAGTTATGTTAGAAAAATTAAACCTCCGCCCATCAAAAATTTTCCCTCACAACCATATGCTGAAACGTATGTTTAAATGATCGATACAACCGGAAAAAGGCATATATGATGTCAGACCATAAAAAGACATTCTTCGGTTAGGCCTTGCAATAATTTTTGTGAATATATATTTAATTCAAAGCAACAATCTATTGCTGATAGGTGGAGTTATTAGATAAGAAAAATCTTTTTATTCGATTATATGCAAAGAAATTTCTTCTTTTTCAACTTTCTTCTTTTTCAAATAATTTCCTCTTTAGTCGTTTGATATCCTCTCTTAATGCCTGTAGCCTGAAATTAATTAATTTCATTCAATTTTGATTTCATTTAAAAATATGGAATAGTTAGTTATACATTAATCACATATTATCGTCACATAGTTGTCGTCGTCGTTCGTATCAATCAAAATTTTAGATGAATCTAAATATCATTCAATCCTATATAGATATCATCTCTCACAATGTCTTTTTGTTTCATATCATCAATTCAATTTTTAATTTAATTTATTTTTATTTTTTTTAAAAATTAATCCATTAATATCTGAATTGGTAAGTTTCGATATCGTACTACTAAAGATATTACTGTGCAGAGAATATCTTCTCAGTTAATTCTTTTCTTCCCTTTTGGAGAATTTTAATTCTTTGATTTTATCCATTAAGATTTCGGCAACAAGAAAAAAGAAACAATAAAACTTTGGAGACAAATTTAAACAATTGGAATGAGATTTGCAGTTATAATTTCACAATAAATATTGCAATTAAGAAATGATTGCTCGAATTTATTATATTTTGAATTTGAAATTGATCACATTCTGATTCTTAAATTGTCTCCGTGATTTCTCAGAGATAAAATAAAAGGAAATAAACGACAAACTCTTTCGGTCTGAAATCAACTCTTTCACGTCTTGTTACTCGTTTCAATTTCTCTTTGGATTTTTTACTTCTACCCCTATTCTGAAATTAAATTTGATATGCCTTATTGCTGTTATATTACTAGAAATTGTCGTTGATACATTAGCTAATATATTAATGGTAATTGGCATATAAAAATTTTAAACAAATAGTTCTGTTTTTAAGCATTGTCGCTTAATTTCAAATATAGATTTACTTGAATTAAATTTTATTGAAAAATGTAGCAATTCAATATCACACTCTCTCTCCTAACTGATTGTTAATTTGATTTAAGATTTTGCAAGTTTATATCAAATGAATCAGAAACCAAAAAAGAAAATTCAATAGCTCTCTTTTAAAATAATAATTCTTCCTCTTCCTGAAATCAATCATTTTGTAATAGTTAAAAAAAAATGTTGAAATTTCACAAGAGAAAATTTTCTGCATTCTTGAAGCAACTCGTTTGCTCCAATTCCTCGTGAAGATGTCCTTCTTCGTCTTATTACTCTTCTTGGCTTTGATTCTTGAAAAATATACAAAGTTAGAAATATGTGTGGAAAATTTTCATTCATTCATTCGGCATTGATGAAAGGATAATTTTAATCATTAATTGATTATCATTCGAATGTCAAAAAATTGAACACATTTAAATTTTTAATCTCTTTAATGCAAAAATTTATTAATTTTTAAATTTCAATGAATATTGAAATTTTATGCTGTCATTAACTTCCTTTAAATTTTCTAAAAAAATTAATTAATTTCTTAATCAGAGAAAAGTTTAAAAAGATGTGCTAATTACATACTATCACAAAATTATTTATGACATTCATTCATCGTTGTTTAATTTTTGAATGATATCTATATGGTACCACAAGTAAATTTATGGTACCACTAGTAAATTTGTTCAAACCAAGAAAAGGATTCATGCTTTTTTTTTTTTTGTTTTAAAAAGATTTTAAATTACAAATTTTCAATTTTGCATTATTTTTATTTTACCTATTTGAGCTTCTTTATAATCATCGATTGTTTCCAATCCTTTGTCTTTTGGAATTGGTCGATTTTCTTCTGCAGTGGATAATGATACCGAATCGTGACTAATTGCATTTAGTTTTGCAATTTCATCTTGCAATTCTTTAATTATTTTTGTTGCATCCGAATCCATTTCAACCGAAATTTTATTCTCATTTTTCCCACTTTTTTTCAAATATTCTTCAACAACAACATCTTCATCATCTTTTGTTAATTCAACCGTCTCTTTTGACATCTCTCTCAATCCCATCTGTTTCTTTCGTCCTTTTTTAAATTCCAAATAAGCTTCCAAAAATTGCACAACCTTAAATTGATCTTACAAAGTACATAAATGATCGAATGCAAATCTTTCAAGAGAAAGCTTATAATTTCAATCAATAAATTATAATAGTTTACTAATACAATTTTTAATCCTCTAAATGTAGTTTAAATTTTAAATTCAGTATAAGCATACTTGTTTCATATCATAACGATCATCCGGATTTTGCTCCCAGCATTTTTGCATAAGAAAAAACATACTCTTTGGGCAACGTGCAGGTCGATCTAATCGACCACCACAACCTACCTATAATTTTACTAATATCTAACTTTTTTTTGCTAATTCTTTTAAGTTATCATTCTTCATTGATAACAAATAGAACTTAAATATTAGCTAAAATGAACTTCGTTCATTTCATTAGTAAATTTTATTTGTTGACTTACTCGTTTTCGTATTTCCATATGTGTAAGGCCTTTATAAGGCTCATCTCCATCAGTAAATATTTCCCACATAAAAATACTATATGAGAAGACATCACTTTTTTGTGTATAAATTAATGCTGCAACTGTTTCGGGAGCTGTCCATTTAAGTGGAATTTTTTTACTTTTCCTCATTTTATATTCACTACCAATACGCGATAAACCAAAATCAGAAATTTTCGCCTGAAGAAAGAAAACGAAAATTAGCATATTACTATTTTCTTTTTTAAATCCATTTTATCTATTCTATGTGAAATGATTATCCATAATGCATGAGATAACAGATAAATGTCAAAGTAAGATAATTTTCAATCCTACGAATGTCGAATAAATTGAAATAATTCTATCCTAGTATTACCTTCTTAAGATCAAAGAATCTGAACACACACTAATTCATTAGCCAATGAATTAATTTAACGAAATATTTTAAATAAAATATCTGCATAAACTTTCCTGAAGATTGTTGTTGGAAATTTCCTAAAGATATCATCGAAAAATTAAATATCAATTACAATTTTATCATCTGTATAAAGTATATTTCTGGTTGCGATATCACGATGTATGCAATTATTTTCATGCAAATATTGCAATCCTTTTGCTGTTCCATAGCACATATTTACTATTTTCTCTTTACGTGAAATTTTATTTTGATTTTGTTGTAAATATCGGTAAAGTGAGCCACCGTTAACCTGAAATTTACTTAAATATTAATTATTGATGATGATTTTTTTTTTAAAGCTATCATTCAGAAATTACTCACTTCATTAAATAGGTATATATATCAATGTAAAGGTAAAATAAACCAACCAATTCAAGGATTATCAACAATGGACATTTCATAACAGCAATGCCATATGATTTGATTACGTTAGGATGATCAAAAAGACGCATTAAACGTGCTTCATGCATCAATTCGTAGTAAATTTCCGTACCGATACTTTTCAACTCTTGTTTTGGTGTAAGTCGGCTCTATCAACGAATTCAGCTTTTTAACTTATAATAAATAATCTTATCAAACATACTGCTTGTAGCTGCATAATCATTAGAATACCTTATAATAATAATATATTATATTATTAATAATAATATAATAATAATAATATTTATAAGCTTGTGATGAAGAAATCTTCAGTAATTTAATGGCTTTACTTTACCTAAATATTTGCTGCATAACCATTAGGATACCTTATAATAATAATATATTGCAATATTTATAAGTTAAAATATTTGTGATGAAGAAATATTCGGTAATTTAATCGCTTTACTTTACCTAAGTATTTGGTGATGGTTTTCAAAAATACCTTTTTAATGGCAACTTTTTGTTTTGTTAATCCAATAGCAATTTCGCCAAGATATACTGAAGCAAATTCTCCTTCGCCCAATAATTTATCCATTTTAACATTTTTGTGTTGGAATTCCCAAGATGTCAAATGAACTCCGCGGATAAGTACACTTTGTTGTATCTGAATAATGACTATCTCTATTGGGCTCGTTTAATTAAGAGCTTATTAATATCTGCTGATTTTCAATACACAATGAGAACTCTCCTCTTGGATCTGATATTCTATCACCAACACTTTATATTCTCGATATATACTTACATCGGGATGTATCGGTCGTTTCTCTTTGATATAATCATTAATTAATTCCTCAATAGATCCATATTTGAACTTATCATGTACAAACCATTCAATTTTATCATCTTTCCTTCTTTCACGATGAATTCTTATATGCTTGATCTGAAATAAATGTTAGCAATTCGAATTGAATCATATTTGAATTAAATTTTTCGAATTAAAAGAATTCAAAAAATTCGTAAATGATTTAATTCAAAAATTAAAATTATTAAAATCAATGGTAGAAAATTTGTGATAACCAACTTGCAGTGGTTTTTTGATCGTTTCTACTGATATAATGAATGCGAATTTTTGTTCATTTGATAATTGTGTGCAACGAATAATGAAATCTCCAATCTGAAGTTCTCGAAATTTCTTCAATTTCTAAGAGTGAAAATAATAATGCTAAGAATACTAGAAATAACTCAAGAATATTTGAGATGATTGTAAATATTTGAAATACCTAATTTCAACATTTTATTATTTCCAGAAAATGAATTAATACAAAGTTCAGAAAGGGATTTAACCTCGGAAAGAATGAAGCATAGATCATCCGATGATACTAAACCATGATAGAAAGAATAATTATCAAGTTCATTCGGAATATCCTCTTCATTTTCTGTATTCCTATCTTTCAACACATTTACTTTTTTCACATTTTCCTTTCCGATATTTTCCATATTAATATCTTTCTTTATGCCTTTGTCTTCCTCATCCTCCCGATCTTTTAATTTTTCTTCTACTTCACATTTATGTTTTTCCTTTTCAATTTCTCCCTTATCGTTCTCTTTATCAATTTCTACTTTATCTTTCTCAATGTTTTCTTTATTTTCTCTCACCTTTTTGTTTTCTTCTTGTTGCATGCTGTAAAACAAAAGTGTCGGTAATAATTCGGATAATAATTCAATAATCTTTCAATCAATTTCTCATTTCTAACCTTTAAAAACACACACACACACACACACACACACTGCCAGCTGACAATTAACAAATACCAAACAGCTGCAACGTTTTATTCCATTTAGCAAAGAACTGATTTTTGCATTCATTTTACACCATTTATATATCATATCATTTCAAATAACAGCTATTATGTAAATTAAAAATAACAAAATTGAAAATTTCAAATTACTGAGAAATATTTTCGTTTTGAAAATTTCTCAAAAGTAAACGAAGATATTGTCGGAATCAATCGTTCTCGGCATTTAACATTGAAGCGTTGAAATTATTTTACGTTCGTCATCGAAATTTCAAATTCATCGCATATAAAATTCCATTTAGAAATTTATATTGTTATGCCATGATAATTCATATACAATTAACTATATTCGATTTATACATGCGGATAGATATAGCAAATATCATTTCATGTTATGATTATCGTTGACTTAAATTCCTTTGAAAAAATACGATCATAAAGAGAAATACGACACGAATAATTGACATAAAGATCTTTGCATAATCAGGAAGATAAACATTTGTAATCAGTAAGTAAGTGATAGGAAATTTCTGAAACAAAATTTAATATTATATTAAGCTTTAACAAAGTACACAAAGCAACTAAAAAATATTAGTTGTCGAACGAAACATCAAATTTTCGACCAGTTGTTCGATCATTATTTTTTTGCGAATTTGCAATTTCCTTTCAGATTTTTTATTGATTTCGAAAAAATTTTATGACGATCGTAGACCTCAACTTTGAAGAAAATATCATTAAAATGATTTGTATTGTTGTGGTAAGTTCATTTATGTTTTGTTTTTGTATTTTGCTTTTGTTTTTTCGTCTAAATATCAGAGAGAATTAATATTCATTAAATGAATCAGTTAATTATGTTCAATATTAAAGACTGAAATTAAATTATCCAATTAATATTTCAGAAATAAAAAGTATCAAAAAAAAAATCATCATTTAATCAAAACATTGTCCTATCATCAATATCAATTATATTAATTATATTAATGTCTTATCATCAAGAATTATAATGATTTTAAGGATTATATCTTGTGGCAGCCAATTAACAATATTATCACAGCAATAATATTATCTTAGTAATATTAGTATAATATTATCTCAGCAAGGATTTAATGGCAATTTTACTATTACAGATATCATTATTAGGATTTATCAGCAATGGCTTATCACTTCATATCACAACCACAAATTCACAATTTCAGAATGCCTATGGCATTCTTCGTACCACAGTTTTGCTGTGTAATATACAAACAATATCAATTATATTGATATGGGCTGCTGTTATTCTACTAACGTAATATTGATTATGATAATTTGTAAAGTTATTTTAAGAGATCAGAATTGATCTCGTCGTATTCACTTATTGACTACTGATCTCTTCCACTGTCGTATTGAATCACTTATAATTTCAGGGGTTTGCGGAAATTATCATCATCGACATATTCCATTGCTTTAATACCCGGATGTTTGGCAAATGTATCCCTTTACGGGGCAGTATCAGTAAATTTGTTAATTGCAGTGAATAGATACTGCGCATTTGCATATCCTCTGAACTATCACTTTTATTGGACCGTAGAAAAAGCTCGCAGAGCAGGAATTATTGTCTATTTCTTCGGATTTCTACCGTGTTTTCCGAGCATTTTCGGTAAAGTTTTGACAGTTAATCCAAGAGAAAATAAATTATCTTATCAAAATCAGAGAAAGAAAATGATTTATCAAGATTATAATTTAAAATTATAATCTTTGGTTATCGAACGATATTATATTTACAGAACCATGTACTCTTATTTTTAATGCGGAGTTAGATTTCCGTTGGAGCTACAGCAATACGAGTTGCGGTAATGTAAATTCAACGTTCGATACAATGTTCACTATTTCAACGATGATCATAGCGGGATGTATCGACTTCATGACATTTTTAAGGATTAGAAGTCACAATAAACTTTTGGTTTGCTATTATTTCATTAATTATCTTCGGTACGAGCTTACAGTTAATAATTAAATATATAAAATATGAGGTGTCTTTGCTTAAAAGTATCAATGATATGCTTGGAACTAAAACAAAATAACTGTTAACTTTAAATGTATTTTTAGCATCTAATAAATTTTACATTCAATTTCACTTAAAATTTTCAACCAAATATTCGATTCAACAAATTTAAACGTAATCGCTGATTGTGCTGAAGAAATTGTTTGTACCGAATTTTTCAGTTAAAAACAGTACGAAAACTGACAGCGCTTCCTTCCAACCGCAAGAATGACATATACTTTTTTAAACAGGCAAGTATACAAACATTGGAATTATTGGGTGAATAATTAAAACAAACAACAAACTGTGATAATAATTACAATGACCCCGGTTATTAAATGAAAAATAATTTATCGTACAGCTAATAAATTGTTTATTCGTTTCCAGTCGTGTATCAGTGGACTAACGATGATCATATCTTCTCTTGTCTTTAATATTGGCCAACATTTTCTGACCAATAAATGGGCTTTATTTGCTGCCACTACAATTGGTTGGGAAATGGCTCATGTATTAGATGGGTGAGAAATTTTTTTGTCATCTATTAAAAATCTAAAAACAGTTCTATTTTTCTTCTTAATTCACCGACAGAAATAACAACAAAATCTGTTCATAATACAACAATTTTTATCGATTACTTTTATGCTATTTATATTATTAAAGTTATATTTGAATATAATTATCAAGTGTTTAGAGAAATGAAATAACCAATGAAATTTATTTGCAGATTTGTTTTATTGTTCTTCAATTGGCATTACCTCGGCGATTTATTAAAGAATCTAAAATGAACAATTGGAATAGAATTTTAATGCTTACCTGAATATTTCTTCTGAATTAGGTTTTCGAAACTTTGCAAGAAATAATTCCAATATTACAGTATGATCGACTGCAATTTAAATAATAATTTAATATCAGAGATAGCAAAAACATTCTTTATGATATTGACAACATTCTTTGTTTAATTGAATTTTAGAAATGAAATTTGAATCGTTCCTAAACGAATCCTTCAAAAATTTTTGTTTTATGTCAATAAAATTATTACAAATTAATGACAGCATTATATACATTACATTGTTTAATAAATTAAAACTAAAGATTTCACAATTCGCTAAGCAATTCTTTCGGAATACATTTCAATTCATTTAATATATAATTTTAATATATAATTTAATATATAATATTATCTCGTTATCATAATTTATGCAAAATTACATCAAATTTTATTTCAAATTCTATTTTAGTATGACTTTCAAAATTTCCTTACCGTAATTTCTTTTACCTGTTGAAGGATTCAAATTTTAGTGGAAAATGCTAACATTCAAATTCTCACCTTCATGAACATTCAAATCCTCACCTTTACAAATGATAGAAGAAAATATTTTTCTTATTTTTTTGTTTGCCTTAAAAAAAATACATCGATGTTTTTAATTATAGGATAAGAGTTGAATATTGTAGGCTTATATTTATATCAATGATTCTGATATCTCATTTACATTAACAATCCTGAAATTAAGAATTCTGAATTCCGTTATTTTGTTAACAAATATAATTCTAATGTTCTTTGCCTCATTCTGATATCTCATTTACATTAACAATTCGGACATTTTATTTACAATTAGAATTCTGTTGTTCATTACTGACAAATATTAAATGTCTTATAGAATGTTATGATATTTGTTAACATGAAATAATAGAATTATTGCAATATTATGATAAGAAATAAAATTCAGATGGATCAGAAATGAATAAATAGAAGTGCTAAAATGTTGTGTAATATATTTTTGAATAAATTAATTAAGACATTTTTTTTAATTTACCAGATAAACTATTAACATTATCAATTTCCCATTATTTTTTCCTTTCCTTATTTCTTCAATGGAATATTTCAATTTATTTCTCTTTATCCTTCCTCATTTATATTCGATGAATTTTCTGATCAATTTTCCGGGCAATTTATCAAATATATTCATTAGATTGATATCCTTCATGATAAGCTGTTCCTTAGTTACAATACAATTTCATATACATATATATCAGACTAATTTTATTATATAAGTGAGTAAATAAACAAATAAATAAATAAGTAAATAGACAATAAATAAATAAACAAATAAATATATATCAGACTAATTTCATATATAAAAACAAATAAATATATCAGACTAATTTCATATATATATATAAATAAATAAGTAAACAAATAAATAAACAAATAAATGAGTAAATAAACAAATAAATAAATTATAATTATGAAAGAAGCAATTCCATTTTTATTAAAAGAAAACTAAAAAATGAAAAATATTTTTTAAATTTCTTTCTTTCTTTTTCTTAACAAACATTCCTTTTTAGACATGAAAACATTATGTTCTTTCTTTTTTTCTTTCCTTCTTAAAACTTTGTTGAGAGAGAAAAGATTCGAAAGAAAGAACGAAAGAAGCATTTGGGTGGAATGAAAAAATCAAATATACCATAGAAAAATAGAATAAGGAGAAAATCCATTTTTATCTTTTCCTATTTTTCTCTTTCTCTTCTCTCCTCCTTTTTAACGATCACATACATAATATCTTTCAATTTTTCGTTTTCTTTCATTATTGGATAAAATGTTTTGATGAAAAAAATCTTTTTCAAAGCTATTATTGCTTAAGGAAGGGGTGGTTGGATGAAGTTGAAATGCTTCTTCTATAAATGCTTCATTTCAAAAATCGATGAATGAAGTAATGTTATGCTTAGGCTTCCTATAATATATCCATCTATCCTTCTTTCCTCTTATGTGTTTATTCCATCCTAATATAATTATCAAATGAATTTGAATTTAAAACAAAGGGAAGGATAAAGAAAAGAATTAAGAAAAAAAGAAAAGAGAAGATAATTAACGATTTGAAAAAAAAAAAAAAAGATGGAACAAAGTGGTGGTTATATTTTTAATGATCATGGTGGTACTACTACTACTACTGATATTCCTACTTCTACTACTACTACTACTAATACTTCACGTGTTATTCGTATTATGGGTTATGAATATCAACGTGATACGGTTATTGCAAGATTATTTTATATCTTTTATTTTGCTTCATTTGGTTCATTATTCCCCTTGTTGGCTATTTATTTCAAGCAACTTGGAATGAATGCATCACAAGTGGGTCTTTTACTTGGTGCAAGACCATTGGTTGAATTTGCTGCACGTCCATTTTGGAGTAGTTTTGCGGTTAAATTTAAAAAGGTAATTAATTAAACATATTTGATATTTGAATAAATTTGTAATAACCATATTCATAATATAATTCATATTTTAATAAACATAAACATAATAAACATATAATTAATTCATTCGCATATATCTTGCAAATTTAAATTTTGTAAAATTATCGTTTATAAAATGAGAATAATAAAAAGAAAAATAGATGTTAAGAAGTCATTTTAAAATTATTGACCTTAAGATAAAGTATTTTAATATGAAATGATTTCAGGTAATTTTATAAGAATAGATGTTAAAGGGTCATTTTAAAATTATTAATTTTAAGATAAACTTAAAATAGTTTAATATGAAGTGATTTCAGGTAATTTCCCCCCTCCTCCTTTAATATGAAATGATTTCAGGTAATTTTATAAGAATAGATGTTAAAGGGTCATTTTAAAATTATTAATTTTAAGATAAACTTAAAATACTTTAATATGAAATGATTTCAGGTAATTCTTTTTTTCTGTTGTTTTAAATTTAAGTCATTTCATTTTTCTTATACAAAAAGAACGAAACTTATTTATTAAATCTTCTTTGCCATTCATTAGTCTGAAAGATTTCATTTCCTCATTGTTGTTATCCATTTTTTTTTAATGCTGAAAATTCTTTATCGATCGTTTATGTTTCTTCACTTCTACCACACCTAAAATCTAATTACGAAATAAACCTTACGAAAAACTTTCCATTTCTTTTCTCTAATTTTTTTTTCCTGATTTATTTCTAATTTTATTTTCTTAAAAATTAATTCATCGAATTGTTTCTTTAAATAAATTTCAAAAGAAATTTAATTATTATATGCTTCCAATCCGGAATTTTTCAAATTCATTCAATGGAAGGAAAAGATTCATTTTGGGAAAAGAATGATTTTTTTTAATTTCGAAACAATCAATGAAAATTTAATTTAAGCACTTTAAAGAATCTCTAAGTGCTAATTAAAGATAGATTTTGAAAGAGAAGAAATTTTGTTTAATTACAGGGAAAACTACTCCTAGAATTTTCATTGGCATCATTTATCATATCAACATTGGCCATTGGATTTGTTCAGCCGTTAACATCGTATTGTGTGGTAAAACCCGTAAATGTTACGACAAAATGTTTATATCTTGAACCAGCTGGACAAACTATACGAGGTGGTGCATTGGGTTATCTGCGAAAAGCAACCGGAATTGGCCGTAAAAAAAGGGATACATCTCGTAAGTGTTAAAATTTTATGTCCAAAAAAATATTCGTAATTATTAAAAATTTCTACATATTTTGATAATTACACAAAAATGGTTCAAATTTAAAAATTTAAATTTGGAAAATAGTAAACTTTATAAATTGGTTATATAAACCTTATGTGAATATATATAAATTATATAATATATATAGAATATATATAATTTATGAATATATATTATATAAACCTCATTTCAACTGCACATAATTTAGATCAATCGAATATTGCATCACTTTTTGTTTTATCAATTTATGCAAAACTTTGATTAGATTGAAAGTTTTTTGAAAATAATTTGATAGCATACTTATTTCAATTTCTTTTGTTTTATTTGTTTTTCATTTTACTTTGTTAAAAATTTCTTTTGCTGTTAATTTAATTTAGTTTCTTCCCGAAAAACTTTTTAGAATTCTATAAAAAAAGAATCGCTTACTTGTAGCAATCGTTGAAACAATCATCGATCTGAGCTCTTACAACAAAGATGATGATGTTGTACCGGGCCTTTCACCACTTGCTTTAACAAAAAATAAGGTAACAGATATATGCACTATTATCACATTGCATAAAATATTTTACGAATATAGATTTTATCACAACTATAATAGCTGTAACAGCTATAAAAAGAATGTGACCAAGAAATTTGTTTTAAATTGATGCAATAGTTTAATCATAATGCTAATAAATCAACGTTGACAAGCTTACTGTATATTATGCAATGTAGTACACAGTAATCATATCTTGTAGCTTGCAGTATAGTGTCATCATAAATTTCAGTAAGCAAATCGTAATTCACTTTGCATAGCATTATAAATTAGTTTTAAGAACACATTGACTTTTATTTTTTGACAGCTAATAAGCTTATGCAATAATTAGCAAAATAGACAAATGCTTAATCGCAAACTTTTGCTTAAATTTACATCATACAGTATAATATATTACAGGTATGTAATTACGATGAAGATTTATATGGTGTTTTAGTTAGTCCACCGCACAGTACACGAGTTTATCATCAGCCAGCCGTGGAACAAGTAATATTACTATCTTCATTACAGTAATTACTCTTTGCTACAGTAATACATACATTCTCTTAATAATAATGAATTAATAGGTTAAAAATTAAAACGATAAAAAGAGGAAAAAAGGTTTAGTCATTAAATTAATGATATCAAATCTTATTAAAAATTAAATCTTAAAGATATTCCAGAAGAAACTGTTATTAAGACTAAAACAATTCTCATACTGTAGCAGTTACAACGAGGATGATACGATGATACATACATTCATTCAATTTTTTTTCGTTTATTTCTTTTCCTAATTTTTCCTCTCCTCTTTTTATTTTTCTCTCAAATTTGTTTCATAATTAATGAACAAGAATTATAATTAATGAAACTTCTATATGTTTATTTATTAATTACAGGAAATTCTAAAGCATCATATCGAAAACATTCTTAGACAGCTATGATATGATGCTTAAGAATTGTTTCATTCTTAGACAGCTAAAGAAATTTTTTTATGCAAAGATTTTAGGAGGAAAATTTCTTTAAAAGTATAAAGCTAAAAAAAAATCTTACTTAACTTTTTCGAATGATTGAATTATTACTTCGTTTCCTATTGCTGTGGTTTTTATTGAATATATAAGAAAACTGACATCATTTTACTAAGTGCAATTTTTTCAAAATTTTCCTTTTACTACTTAAAATGATTGAATGATTTCTTCGTTCTCTTGCCGTTGTTTTTTTTAACTTAGAGAATTAATCAAACGAATCAAAACTGAAATTATTAAAAATGTTAATTAATCAAATTATAAGAAATTTCATTTCTTTTGATTTAAATTCCTTTAATTAATTCTTTCGTTGAAATTTAAATCATCTTATAACAGGTAAATTGTATATTAATTTAATGAAATTAATTTTTAGGTTTTCCTTCTTCTATTGCTGCTTGTCATTTTGGGTGAATTTTTCAGTTCACCAAGTCTTGCTTTAGCAGATAGCGTTACACTAACTTATGTTTCCGATAATCCAAAACAGGTATTATAGTATCGAAATTTTTATTTATCATTATCAATAATAAGTTATTGATAAGATTTAAGCATCATATTGATAAGATTTAAGCATTATATATGCAAATTTTTGCAATAATTTTGAATCGCTGAAATGATGCTCATTTTAATAAACATTTTGATCATATTGCAAAATATCATTTAAATTTAAAATCTTCAATTTATGAAATATATCATTTCTTATCAAATGATTGTTATCGTATGAAGTTGAAAAAAGAAAATGTACTTTTGATTTTTCTTCTTTTTACATTTTAATTAAAGAAAACCTTCTACACTGATATATCCGTTTTACAGATCGATTTATCCGTTTTAATCAATCTTTTCAGATATCCATCTATCCATCTCTCTTTATCATATATATATAATGGAGATTTTATGATTTCTTTTTTTAGTTTGGTACAATTCGACTTTTTGGAAGTTTTGGATGGGGTTTGGCAATGTTTATTATGGGTATCGGTTTAGATTATTCGGAAACTTTCCGGAATCATCCATGTCCAGCAAAGAATACCACTGAAAAGAATTATACGTTATGCTTTGTTGCATATTCACTATTCATGCTTGCTGCAATGCTTGTTGGTAAAAACAAAAATTGCATTTTAATGAAATTTTACTTAAAGAAAAATAAATAAAATAAATAAATAATTAATTACCTTTTTGTTTTAAAGATGTAATTTAAATTGAATCATTAATTTTAAGAAATTTACAAAAAATTTGATTAAAATTTTGTTAGCAACACAATTTCGCTTTGGTAATGAGCAACGTCCGGATGAAGCAGCTTGTACGGTAATCGAAACACGAATTGATGAAATTGCTCCGGCAGTAGCAGAAAAAGCTCGAGTAAGGCAATTACAGGTATATTTTAAAAGTTTTAGTTTTTTAATTAATTATTTATTACTCAGTAATTTTTATTTTTATCAATTTTTTCGACAAAAAAAGTTTACAAATTATTCATTAACTATTTATTATCAATTTTTATAATAAAGAAAAATAAATGGCTGCATTTGTTTTATCACTAATTACTTATCCATTTATTTAATTAAAGTTAGAGCATTCGCAAGATAATGCACAATGGATTCCAACTATTAAAGCATTGTTTCGTGGTCATGCAGCATTTTATCTGTTAACTGTTACAACGATCGGTATTGGTGCCGGAATCATTTTTACCTTTCTCTTCTGGCATTTACAGGTTCGAAAACAATTTTTGGAAAAATAATTTTTTTGAAAATATTCGAAGCTCAAATGTGATATTGACAGATATTAAGAAATGAGCATAATATTGAACTGTAACTGAATAAATATTTATATGGTCAGAGTTCACATAGAAAATATACTTAAAAAGTTATTTAATTTTTTTAAATTAAGTGAAGTTTAACGTTTACCTTTCTTTTCGACAAATTTTTAAATGAATTAATTACGATGTAAAAATATTGGAAATTTACTAATTGACAGTGCTAGCAATTTTTGTTAATAAATTGTATTCATTTTGCTAATAAATTTATGGCAATAATTTAATTCATTTAAAAACTTTGTCCAAAAAAAATCTTTCATAAAATACATAATATTAATTTAAAAACTTATAACTATATAGTTTATAGTTATAATATTAATTTAAAACGTATAACTATATAGTTTAATAAATAAAAATTAATTAAAGAATTTATTTAAAATATTGAAAAATTATTTGCAGGATTTTGGTGGTTCACCAACTTTATTCGGTTTTGCAACGGTAGTTAATCATGGAGCAGAAATTGCTACTCACTTTTACTGTTTTCAACTGATCAATAAATTTGGTCATGTTAAGGTTAATTAGATTAGATAATTATTAGAATCAATTATGAAAAGTGTTATCTGTAAAACTATGATTATGAAATTACAATGGTAAAAGGTTGGATAATTATATTAGAATCAATTATGCAAAGTATTACCTGCAAAACTATGATAATGAAATTGCAGCGGTAAAATGTTGAATAATTAATAAAATGAAAAGATTAAAACAATATAATTAAACTATAATAATGATATAATTAAACTATAATAATAGAATCGGTAAAAAAAAAACGATTAAAATAAGCAGCGAAAAATAATAAAATAATAATTGTATTTTATCAGTTATATCATAATTATCATAATCATAAATTAAACAATAATATGAATAATTTGATTAAAAAAATGGTACTCAGTCTTTCATATAATTCTGCGAAATATTTCCATCTTTATTTGTTTCAATTTTCAGTTAATAAATATTTGCCTATTAGCTAATGTAATTCGTTTCTTCATAATTAGTTTACTCACAAATCCATGGATGGTACTTCCATTGCAAGCATTACAAGGTGACCTTATTTTTATTTTTTTACTTTTTCAATACATTTAAATGAAAAACGGTATTAGATGACATTAAATGACAATTAAATACATTTCATCGAAATTTCATAAAATACCTTTGGATTCATTAATTTACGCCTTGTTTACACCGTAGATTTACACCTTGTTGCTAATATGTTAGATTGAATTAGATCAAATAATTGGATGATAAAATTTGATAAAATATGAAAGGAAAATTTTTAAAATGTTAAGGTTTAACCCTAGCAACAACATGGGCATCTGCATCATCATACATTTCATTAATTGCACCATCACAATTAAAAACAACAGCGCAAACTCTTCTAATGATTTTATATCATGGAATCGGAAAGGGATTTGGAAGTATTATTGGAGGTTGCATTATTAAATTTGCGGGTAAATTTTTTGTACATATTATTTCATCAAAGGGATTAATTAGTTTATCATTAGATATGACAATAATTATTTAATACCGCTACGTCTTTAATATTATAATTAAAACTTTCTTAATAATAATATACATATGATTTAAATGATTATTATTGTCTTATCTAATGATAGCTTGATTAATTAATTTATTATTGTCTTATCTAACAATAATTTAATTAATTAATTAGCCTAATTTAAATTAACAAATTTACATCAATCAATTCAATATTTCAGGCACACGGTTAACATTCCAGATTTATTCCATTATTGCAATACTCATATTGGGTTTACATTATGGAATGAATCGATTATTTAAATATGACGATATCAAGTACAGTCATGAATTTGACGATGATGATGACAATATACTTGTTGGTAAGAATTATTTAATCTTTTCATTTTTCTGAAATTTATTTTATGATTTAGTTTGAAATCTTTTGATATCATACCATATCACTAAAATATTTCATTATCATCACAAATATTATTATGATACATCATCCAGTTATCATAGAACAGTAAGAACTAACACTCAAAATTTCCGATGATATGATATCAATCCAAAAAAATTACAAATTCAAATCAAAGTTGCAAAAAAATGGAAAAACAGTGAGAAAAGTTAATTTTTTAATTTTAGTAATAATGATTATTATTGTAGCACCTCAAGGATTACCGTTACATTATGGTGAAAGTAAATTAACTGATGCTTTCAACCAAACATCTGTTATAAATACAAATTATGGTACAATCGAAACTAAAGATCCAACCCAGGAAGCATATGATCGTTACGTCAAATTACCACCGGTGAATAATATGTAATTAATTAAGCTCATTTATTATGTGTTATATTTATTATTATCATAATCATTATAGTAAAATGATTAGTATTAGATATTGAATATATATTTGAATTATTTTTCATTGTTATCATTACATGCGTAGAAAAATGTAAATAATGCGTCTAAGCTAATCGCGGCTAATTCTTCTCTTTGTTTTTAAAACTCCTTCACATGAGTATATTTTTCGCTATATGCAACTTAGTGATGAATAGACAAATGTTCCACAATAATAAATGTAATCTACTAGATATAGTGCATATTCGGATGATCGAAAAGGTACGAGTTATATGAAATGTATTAAGGAAGTGATAAATTTCATTTCCCCATTATTTAATTCGTCTGATAACTTATTTTATAAAAAGAAAATGATAATTTAGCTGCATTAATATCAACTTTAAGATATGTTGAAGATTGAGATATTTAAGTTTGTTTTGTTTCATGTAAGCCTGAAAAATAAAATCAGCATTTCAGGTTGGCTAAGCTGAATAACAACTACGATAAATATACTAGATTACTGAGTGTATTATTTTCGAAATTCTTCAACCGTAGCAATTTGGATTCATCCCAAATTGAAAATTTTAATACAGACTCGAAAACTTTTCATTCTATTTATTATTGACTAGATATCACTAACAATGCATTCTATTGACCAATTCATATCATTTATATAAATTTGGAAATACAATTTTTGAATTAGTTCTGAATCTAAAAATGGAAATGGTACACAAATTAAAGATTATAAAAAATGAAAATCAAAAGAAAAAAAGAATTATATACAAAATGGAAATGCCACTCATTACTACGTTTAATTACAAATCTGAAAATAATATAAGAGAATTTTAAAATAGAACCTGAAAAAATATATAATTTCAATAGAGATTTCATTGTAACTAAATTTAAATATTTGAAAGTTATCAGACGGAAATAGGTACAACTGAACTTCTGAAGATGTGTTTTTTTGTCGGACGATCATAGAAAATTAATGATGATCAGTGAACATTTTGCTCATAGTCTATTAGCATACAAACAGAATATTGGAGTATATTCTGCTATATACTTTCCGGGCCATTAAAAGATATAATTGGAAATTGCAAGAAATCGAGCATTACTAATAGAAGAAAAACTATGACATTTCAAGCGGTTCTTAAAGTGAAGCTTTTATAAAATCCACCAGTTCAGAGACTATAAATAAAAAGTCAAATTTTGTCCGTACAAACGGATATATTGTAAATCTTAGTAGCTGTGAAGAGTGCAAAAGACGTTCACCATGGATAATCCAGCATGCATGAAAATATCTATTTACAAGAGAGCAAAAAGTCTTAAATTACAAAGTGAAATTTGAGAAAGAAAGATATTACAACTGAAGCTCATAAGAAATATTACTAACAATAACTAAATGTATATGTATAAAGGCCACATCGAATAAATAGTAAAGAAGGAAAAAAATCTTATATATCTCTCAATGACCATGAACTTTGGTAATCCATCGGCCAATCACTTTTTTCTAAAACGAGTTTCGAACAAATAAAATCTAAAACAGTAGAGTAGAAATCTTCTTTACCTCGCACTTATAATATAACTGATTAAGTAAAAATCGTAAATTCACATACAGTTGAGCAACTCGAGGAGATTTATTACACAGTTCAGAAGTGATCCAGTTAAAAAGTATAATCTTTCGATTTTGGCTTTTCAGTTTGCATTTTCGAGCAATTACTTGTATCATGTCCAAATTCTGAAATAAAATTGGAAAAAAAGACTGAAAAAAAGCGTCGAAGATGGATTTGAAATAAACTTTGAGATAGATTTGTAATACTTATTAAATGAAAATTTTGATTTGAAAAGAAATAAAAAAGCTAAGACACCATACCTTCACATTGCTCACAGTATGGTCGAGCTTGCGGTTTCACCTTTTTGTTTTTCCCACGAATTGCTTCCTCCATATCCATTGCTTGCGTTGGACAATCAGTAGTATCATGCAAATCGAATACTTCACATATATCACAATACAATCGTAGTGGAACGTTCTGTGTCGTTTTACGTTGAAGTTGAGTCATTCTGAAGAATTGATTTTAATTAATTGAATATTTAATTACTAAATACAAGATTACAGCAGAAGCTGAACGCAAAGCTATGTGATAAATTGGACTATCATTGTAAAAATTCTGGTTGAAAACTCAAAATAGTAGCAAAACAATTAATATCAAGTTCGGGTTGAGCATACGTGAAACAGAATTAATCGTTTGACAAAAAATCCTCATTGCTCCCACTGAGTTTGAAATTACTTCGCATTGTCCAGACAATTAAGGCGTGGATTAAAAGATACTAGCAACAAGATACTACAGAAAGACTTTCAAAGTTCACAAAGAATGAAGTTTGACCGAGTCCTTTTTTGTTTTAAATAGAACAACGAATCTTGAAATCTGACTAAAATATACAAAACTTGAAACATTTTCTTTATCAACACCTTATTTTCACTTTTCGAAATGCAGCTTACATTTCATTTGCAGGCAATGAATTCAGGATTGCAATCTGTTCTTTCAAATTTTTCTCTTTCTTATACTGCTCTGCTATGATAGAATTGAGAAATGATATCTGCAAAAATTACGTGTAATTGGGAATAAAACGATAAATTTTCGACAATATTTTTTTTTGATGAAAACTTACAGAAAATCTTCGCTAACTTCAGCAAAAGAAACAATTTTGCGTAAGAAAATAATCAAGGTAACAAATTATCGAAACCGTTTAATTATCGAATTATCGAACCGTTTAACCGTTTACCGTTTAATATTGACAATCTTTTCATTCTTATGAAAAGCACAGTAGAAAAATGCTTCAATGACTGAAAATTTTATTTTACTTACATCTCGTTTCATTTCTTCAATTTTGTCAGTTTCTGTTTTACCGACTGCTATCTTTAATTCTTGTATTTCCTGCATGTATGCAGTTTCTTTATTTTTCCATTCTTCTTCAAAGTCGACAAATAAAGCACTGCAACGGATTATTTTAGATTTTTCAAATTATTTTCAAAAGAGATTGCTTTTCAAAATGCGAAAATATCAATCACTAAAAGGGAAAGCTATAAATAAAATCAACTTCTGTTGTTGCGCTTCTGAAACTTTTCCTTCATTTTCCGCCTGTTTCCTCGATAATTCAAGGATCTGAAATGATAAAAACAAAAATTTTATGAATTTTCGAATTTGCAAATCAATCTTATGATCAGCCTCTCTTAGACATAATCTTTTTTTTGCATCTAAGTTTGAAAGGTAATTTTTGAATTTGATTTGACAAAAATCATCAGCACCTAATAAATTTCAAATGATAGCAAAATTGCAGCCAAATATGGCTAAATATTATCCTTCGAAACAAAGCGAATCTTCAAAAATCCCCATAAATTCATCGGCTGGTTAGATTATTAATGATTAAACCTATGGAAGTATTTGCGATCCTTTAAGGTAATTACAATTAAGTACCTCTAATTTCAGCAAATTTATCTGGCTGATAGCTTGATTTTTTTCTTCTTTCAAAGCATTAATCTCCTTTTCATATTGTTTATTTTGCGCAATATCTGCGGTGCTGATACCATGCTATAAATGAAACATAATTCGTAAAAAAATATAATCAAGCATTTAGGAAGAAAATTATGAAACAGCTAATAACAAATTCCTTCTCCTCAAAGAAGAAAAAGAATGACCATATTTTGAATAATCCTATATCATCGTTTGCAAGATTTCCACTGAAAGTAAGCAAATCAGCCATAAGTTTTCGAAACTTCTTAAATACAAGCTCTCGTTTTTCTTCTTATTTATAGAAATCTGTTTGAAAAGCAACAGTAATGAATCTTTGACTCATAAATAAGTATATTTACCTCAGCTTCTAATGAACTTATTGTGTCATCTTTGTTTTTGTTTTTATCCATAATATTTATCATTTCCCTCTTCAAAACATTTAATTCAACATCTTTACCATCTCGTTCTTTTTCTAGTCTGCAATAATGTTACCGGATATTAAAAGATAGATATTTTTGAAGTAATGGACAATACCACTAATAGTAATATCAAAAAAATCGAATTCTATTCGGGAACCAATTATAAATATGCACCGGGAAAGACATTGTTCAAGTTCTGATTTCTCTTTCGCCAAGCTATTCAAAACAACCGAAGTCTCATTATTCGATTTGTTCATGCTAGCTGCTACTTCTTTCAAAGCAGCAATCTGAAAAACAATGTCAAACATCCGTTATTACGTATTTTATTCAATAAAATGCGGAAGAAGTTTGTCAAAAACAATATCTGTCTCTGAAATCAAAAAAGATTTACTATTAAATACATTTACCTCTGCCTCTAATGAATTTATGATGACGTCTTTGTTTTTGTTTTTGTCCGTAATATTTATTATTTCTGCCTTCAAAATATTCAATTCAGTATCTTTATTATCTCGTTCTTTTTCCAGCCTGCAATAAATTTTTAACTTAATGTTAAAATACTGTACTTTCGGTTAGTTTACCTGTACAAACTTAATGTCAATATAATTTACCTGTGCTAATGATCCATTCTTTTTATACAATTGATTCTCACTCTGGAAAAGCAAATTGCATGCTAAAGTTAATTGCAATATAAGATGAAATAATTATTATCCTCCCTCGACAGAGATGTTAGCTGCTTCAAAAAATCAACACCTAATGGAACAGGATCACTTGAACGGAGTGATAAAACTTCCCCAAAAAACTATTTATCCTAGTAGAGCCTAAAAATTTTTCGTTTTCATCTCAAATTCTACACTCTGTAACAATAGTTTAACAATAGTACGAAGTGTAGATAGAAAACAGTTGCACGAGTTAAATATAGGAAGTAAAAAGCAGTTAAACATGTTAGGCAGTTATGTACAGGAATTCAAGAAAGGCATCCATCAAACTCATTAGTGAAAATTGTATGTAGACAACAGTAAAATAATGTGTAACTACGCTAACGGTTATACGTTATTCAAAATAGCTTCGCCTTTACCACCAAACCGTAACCTTTAGCTTGCTTGAATTTCTGGAGACATATTATAACAAGGGTCGGACTCAATCTTTGGAATAATAGAATATATTAATTTGAATTTACTGATTCAAAATAAACAAACAAACTTATTTAGTGAAGCAGCAAATGTACTGCGTTCTTGTTCGAGTTCAGATAATTTCTTGACAGTTACTATCAAATCAGACGCTTGCTTTCCTTTTTCGACCATCAACTTTTCAATTTCTGCCTTCTGAAATCCAAAAAGTTATTGTTCCATGCTAATTCATGTTTAACTATTAAATCTAACTCTGAATTTTATCCAGAATTTCTAAAATTTCCACTCACTAATCTTTTTTCTGTATCAGTCAGCTGAATTCTTTCCTCCAATAAATTACTGATTTTTTCTTCCAAGGATCCTCCTTTGCACTCAATTGTGCTTAAACACTTCGTTACACTGAAATTCATGATAAATAATAAAATTAGAACATATTTCGGGAAAGATTTAAAGTTGACAACTACAGGAAAACTAGCCTTTCCAGTTCAGCTCTGAGTTTCCTCATCTTTTCTTTATAATCACTATCCAAGCTAACACGGCCTTTCAACGATTGCGTCAATGCTTCGTAACGTTCTTTCACTTTTGCATGCTGCATATTTATTAAGATCAGTAAAAATATGAGGAATAAGACATCAGTTTATTACACAACACTTACATACGTATATGTGTTTAAAAAGACTAATGTCTAAAAATTTCTAAACCAAAAACACCAGCCACTCATAATACTTTTTTCAATGCAAAAATTGCCTCTTTCTGCAATTCGACCTTCTCTTTCAAAATGGTTTCTTTCTCAGCTTCCAAATCACGTGTCCTTTGTTGTGCAAAATCATTTTCTGACTGCAATCTGTAAAATAAATAAACCTTTCAGAATCTATCAGCCAGTTTGATCACTTTTTTTAACTGAACGCATGAATGAAGCAGAATTAATAAACATTAGGGACATTATCATGCTAAATACTTTATATAAGGAGTACGTGAAATTTATCCCATTAATTTGACCAGATGCAGTGAAATTTGATAGCTATCGATCTGATATTTTGTAATACGAATGGTTTAATTATTTTTTAATTCTATTAAACTGTTTGTTATCAATGCATCGAAGTACATGCATTCACTATATGTTTCATTCAAAATTTATACTGTTCGCATCTTGGGCAAGGTTGCATTCAACTGAAGCGACGCGTAATGTGTAAATCGATACACTCCTGGTATGAAGAATTTTTGGAGTATATAAGGTATTCTGGCATGGCACGGATAACACATAATTTGGAGGTTGAAAGACAAATTAATAAGTCAAATAAGTAAGTATAAAGACTAAACACTATCTCTTGTCTGCCGGCATGGTAAGTATCTTACTAAAAATTAATTTTTAATTCTAGCCTAGCCACCCTAAAAGCTTCCCTATGTTCCATACAGAATTACCTCAAAAAGACTAGGAAAGGTATTCTTTAGAATTAATCAAAACTTTAAATCAAAAAAACACGTTGAACATCAACATTAAGTTTTGATTATCATATTTCGAGAAAGATCTTTACGAAAGAATTCTCACCTGGACTGAGTTTTAGTATGACTTGCAGCTTCTTCTTCTTGCAACCTTTGCAATTGTTCCGCAGCGCTGACATGAGAAACTATCTCCTGTTGTAACTTCGAAACCTGATGAAAATCCAAATAGTTTCACCCCAAAACTTAATCGTAATAACTAGATATGTGAAAAAAATCTTCGCTCAGAAAATAACTAACTAATATGATAGAGTTATAAATTAACTTCTTCATATGGTAATTTGCCCAGCTGTCAATAAACAGTAATAAAGAATTCTAGAAGTGCTTTAAGAATTAAAATAACGTCTTTAGAACGCTTGCTCGTTCTGCCATGAAATTCTTACTTTTTCTTGCTCAGCTATCAATTGTTGTTGTGAAAATGAAAGGTCCTCCTTTAACTTTTCAAGTTCGGATTGAGTTCTGAAAATTGAGAAAAATTTTGCAAACAATAATTAATTATATCGATCCTTTCGGGGAAAAACTGATATTTACTTCAAATTCGACAATGGAACTAGAAATATTATCTCATGTATAAAGATTTCCGATACATTAAGACGAAGAAAGATAAGAAAACCTTGTCCTTACTTTCCCAATGTATTTTTCATGACGTCATGGATATTTTCCAGACTTTGCAAGCTATTTCTGGTTGTTAAGAAATCCTTTTCGAGAGATTCATTGGTTGCTTGTAATTCTGCCATCTGCAATAATGAAGTTTGTGTTCCTCTCCTATTTATAAAAATACAAATGAAGGAAAGAACCAGAGAATGAAATCTTTACTATAATTCAAGAAAATTCCCAAAAAGTCTTGCCTGAACAGCATGAGTTTCAGCTTCTTTCTTGTTTTCTTCACGAAGTGATTCCAACTCCTTTTTCAGACTTCCATCGCTAGAGCTTGCTTCACAAAGATTGGCATGAAGTCTGCAAATGAACCGAATTTGCATTTTAAGCTGCACTTATTAATTTATTTATTAAACAATTTATCAAAAATTTCATGAAAATTTGCTGACCTATCGACTTGACTACTGAGCTCATCGATTTTGGATTTTGTCGAAGCAAGCTCTACCTCCTTCTTTGCTAAGGAGGAACTGAGTATTTCTCTTTCTGTTTCCTTCTGTCTCAACTTTAAAAATAAAATATTAAAAAATTTGTTAAAAGCGAATATTAAAATATTGAAGGAGAATATTAAAAAAACAAAACTAAATAGAATGCAAAATTCTCAAAACCTTTCCCTCCAACTCAATTTTCTGCGATTCTAACGATTTTATATCTGTAAGAAGTTCCCTGTTGCTATTTTCCAGAGATTCTCGTAATTCGATTAACTTCGTTTTCTCAACTTCCATCCTAAAAATACAAAAAAATCATTTTGTCAAAATTTTAACTTACAGTTTAAAGGTTAACCTCCAAATTTTGCTGTCATGAAAAAACCGATAAAAGTAATTCACTTTTTTAGCTGTTCCTGCGGTTGGATAGCATCGTTTCGTGCTTTCTGCAGTTCCCCATTTAGTCGGGTGATTTCTGCATTATATTCTCTTTTTTCATTTTCCATCTGTAGAAAAAAAGTAAATAATATGTCGCAGTGACTGGAACCAGCCGTGCCATGAAGAAATAAATCATCTGTGATGATATGAACTTTAAACGACTTAAATTAAAAGTAAACCTGAATCAATCGCTTTAATATGAAATTAGAACCAAATGAGGAGGACCGAAAAAGAGGTGAAAGTTGCATTACTTTTTCGTAAGTACCATATAATTCATATTTTTGCTCTATTAAATGGTACTGTTAGGAAAATATATTATCTGAATCAATGATACTCACTTTCGCAGTCATTTCAACGTTTTTTTTATTCAAGTGATCGAAATTTTTTAACAGAGCATTATTCGATATCTCTAACTCATCATATGTTTCTTTCAGCTTCACTTTATCTTCTTCAATTCTAAAAAATTTAGAAATTATCTTTATGAGAAAATTGTCATCTGTTTTCTTTTCCAAAAATTGATGAATAAGCTTACTTTCCCAGTTCATTTCTTAGTTGATCCAGGGTTGCCCGACATATTGTTAGTTCCTCGTCATTTCGTGAAATACTAACTGCCTTATCGTCCAATGATCTTTTCAAAATTTCACACTAAATTTGAAAAGTATTATGAAAACTAGAAAATTCAACCAGTATAGAATTTCATCAAATTAACATTTGGCAGAAGAAAAATTATCAAAACAGATAAGCCGCGTCCAATTTGATTAAAAAGAAAAAAGAATACAACAATTTTTTAGTGGTTTCAAATTTATTTTGAGATTTCCGGGAACATAATGCAAATAGCTCTTTTACAATAAGTTATTCTCAAACAATTCAGATACCTGATTTGCCAAATTTTTTATTTCTTCCTTATTACTTTCAAGCCTTTCTTGTACTGCTTCTTTGACTGTTTTATTGTGATCTATCAAACTATCCAATTTTCTCATATTCACTTTCAACCTAAATATATGTGCAAGTAAAGACTGATTCGTGAAAAATAAACAAAAGCTTTTAATAAATGTATCACATACTGTTTTGATAAATCTTGTTCATCATCAGTAGATGCTGTTTCACTTTCATTCATAATTTCGACAGTATCATTGGGCAATAAGAGCTGTATCAACTAAAAAATATTTACTAAACTTTTTAATACTTTGCACAGTAAAAAATGCGAAGAGACATGCAAAGCAACAAATGTGATACTGGATTTCAAGTTTTTATATTAAATTTCAGAAAACATACTTCCGTAAAATCCTGCTTATAGGTCGATAATATATTTTTTATTCCAGCACATACTGAAAGCCTTTCTTGTTCCAAAGCTGAAGATACAAAAAACTTTGCATAATATTCTTGAAAAATTATACTTGTTCTGATATTATACAGCAAAAAATAAAACTTCCAGCAGATAAAATACAACCGGCAATACATAAAAAGTGATGCAACGTACCGGAGCACTGCTTCTTCAATTCCTCCAACTTTAACTTTGCTTTTTCCACTTCAACTATCAATATCTCAGCTGTACCTTCACCCTCATTCTATAAAATTTGAATTTTGAAACAACACTGTCGAATTTATGGGAATAAATTAAACTTTTGAACATAACAATACGAGAACTGACCCCTTTAATAATAGTTTCTTTTTCCAACTGAGCAATTTTTTCTTCCATTTCAGCATTCAGTATGGTTTCCTCATCATAACGAAATGTTAAATCTTCGAGAGCCTGTAAATAATAAATTTATGTTTTATAAGAGAACCTTCTGATGAAAACAGGAAGATTTGTATCTATAGATAAATTGGATCGATTATTCTTGCTAACCAAACATTTCGGCAAATGTTTCAGATTGAAATTGAAGAATAATTACAGCCTTATAAATTGAGCCGTTAAATGAAGATATTACAGCTGAATACTTAGATGAAGAAGTAACGAATAATAAGGGTATGAATGCTAGAGACCGCAAAATTCTTTTGTTTTGCTAGATTAAAATAATTATTTACAACAGTTCTCACATCCTTCTTTTCCTTCAATTGAACGGTAAGGTCGTTGATAGTGTCATCTGCTACTTTAAATTTAGCTTCAGTTTCATCCATCATAACTTTTAATGCTTGAAGTTGTTGATCTACTAAAGTTTTGGCGCTTTCGAGTTGTGTTACTTTTGCTTCTGCCATTTCGCAACGATTTGACAAAGCTGCCATTTCATTCCGTTCGAGATCACGTTCCCTGATCATTTGTTCCAAATGTGTTTCTTTCTCTTTTAATGATTCCTATAAGTTCATTAATACAACCGATAAGAATTTTGATGACAACAAAAGACTATGGAGAGAAAAGGATCAAAGATTTTCATAGAAAAATAATTCCACAGATTCAAAACAAAAAGAAATTGTTGTCATCCGATAGTAAGGATGCTTGATATAAAAACTGAATAACTAGAACGGCGATATCATCAACTAACCTGAAGCGTTTTGAATAAATCCTCTTGTCCTTTAGATGATGAAATAATAAGTGGCCTCTGCAATTTTTTAAATAGTTTCCAAACATTGCAAAGCGAGAAAGCTTATATATATCCAAAATGAAATTTTAGAATCAGTTCATAAGCTTCAGTTTCGTACATAACATACAGTAAAATAAATTCCAAAACTGTTTTAAGTGAAGTCACCACACATGAATAAACAAGAACATTTCAATTAGTTTTCCAAAAAACCTGAGCAAATAAACTTTTCATATCTTCACGTGATATTTGTATTTTTAATATAGAATTTCAAACAAATAACAAAACCAGAAGAGTATTTATACCTGGACGGATCGTGGTGTGGCGAAGTTGTACTTAGAAATTCGTGACGATGCAACTGAGGATGTGCCAATTGATGACAATGACTCATGGCTACCTGAACGTTGCCGTAATGCTGATGTTTTTGTATGTCGAATCTATAAAACCAATCTTGCAGGTATTACGCTCATGGTTATAACCAAATATAAATCTAACAATTTTCTAAGAATTTTGTTGCTTGACACAAAAATTTTGTATTAGCTATTAAGAATTTCTTGGAATGTTTTTACTTAACTGTTAGAATACTATTTACATGAATACTACTTATAATCAAGAATAGTTTAAGTTAGAACTATTATAAGCAATGTTAGATTGTCATCAATGAATCCTTGTTATATAAAAAGGGAAGGTCAACTATGGAATTTTGCTTCAAAGAGACTATGCCACAAACCACTTGAATAACGTAAGCACATATAAATAATACATAAAAAGAATTGCGAATTTCATATATATGTATAAGAACAAAGACAAATGCAAAAAATTTCGAGAAGAACTGAATCTGCGGTTACCAAACATACTTTAAATTTAGCAGAAGTTTGTTCGGGCGCACGAACAACTTTTGATGCGGCAGCAAACAAACCATATGGTGCTTTGCATGTAAAATATCGCTTGCCCTAAAATTCAATAAATTTCTTGAAGTAATGGAATTTTGTTATATATATGATCATTTCCAGAAAATTCGAAATAAAAGAGTTACTAATTTAAAACACCTGAACGCTGCCATCGTTTTTCCCTACTGGCTGGTCCAACTCAATGCCGGCCCAAACGCCGTCTTTGAACTCAGTATTTCCAAGAAAGCGCAATCTTCCACATTTACCACCTGATACAATAACTCGATCACCGATCTCCAATCTGAACAACAACATGAGCATTTTTAATAGCAAATAAATTATTTCTTTTATAGCTTGAAACAAAAGCGCATAATATAACTTACAAGAAATTCAATTTCAGATCTATCCAAAAATTTTATAAAACCTACGCCGAGAAATAAACCAACATAAACACTCGTTTTCCTACTCAAACTCTATTTCTCTCTCCCCGCTCGCCTCGAAATTAACTGACAATGCTAAAACATTCACTTGGATCAGGAAGAACACTGATCAACACTAGAGGAAAGAAAGAGCATAAAAAGCAAACCCGTATTCTTTGCAAAATGGATTATTTTGCGGTGTTTCAATTGGCAGGCTCGGTGGATATACGCGTTCCAACTTACTGGCTTTACAAAATAATCCATGATTTGGTTCACACTGAAAAAATTTGCCACCAGTTCACTGAATGCTAATGTTCATTTTTTGGCTAGTGAATGTGGTTAATAAATTTTTTTAATTAGTGAACACATCCAAAACTAAAAATATTTTTGAAGAAAACTTCAGCACTTACAGAAAAATATCGATGTCCATCAACAGAGCCATCATTTTTCCCAAGCGGTTGGTCGAGAACAATACCTATCCATTCACCTGGTGCAAATCTTGCCGGTCCAATATATACAATATTGCCCATTCTTCCACCAATCTGACAACGATCACCAATTTCCCAATCACCAACATGACTAATCGCGGATATTATAGATTCTTTGCCTCAAAAGAAAACGAGAAATATTAGGACAAAATCAAAAAAATTAGTTTTTTCTCTTTTAGATCAAATTTCTATCTTTACTACGTGATGAAAAATAACATATTCCTTCCCTCTTCAGTGCTGTATTCATATTACACTTCCCTTATTTCTTATTACTGCACTGTATTCGTTACTCTGACAACAATTCGATTATCACATTTAATACATCAACATCTGATAAGACCAAAACGCAACCTTTTAAATTGTCTAAATTTTTTTAATGTTTCCTTTTATTCAAAGTGATATAAATATGTAGTTGCATTTCTTAACATTTACCAATTTTTTTACTTAATCATTTAAAACTTCTATTCATATTTATTTCTATTAAAATTAATCCATATCCTAAATCTGTCTTTTATTGCTTTAATTTTTACACATATTTATCTTCATGAAACAAAATATGCTAATTATGGAAATTACTTAATAATTATGCTATTAAAAAGTTGTCTTTCAGAACTGACAAATATAATTGCTACATTAGAACTGCTGAATTAATATAAGAAAAAGAAAACAAACTAGTAGAGCGAATCAATCCTCCAGTTGCTTTTAATTCTGCCATTGTTTTTGTTAGAGATTAGTTCTGGTGGTTGATGGTATCGTTTACCACCAAGAAAAGATTTTTTTACGTTCTGAAAAAAACAAAAGAAAAGAAAAATCATTTATTGAAATTTAACTTCAAGATTTATTCATTATTTAAAAAAAAAAGCAAAAAACCTTTTCTGGAAGCTTTCTTTCTTTTTCCAACTTATATGACAGCTAAATGCTTGGAGATAAATATAACATATGAAGCAAGAAGAATAAGGGAATATCAAAGCAAGGAGAATAAGAGAATCAATAACATTCTGACATCAAATATAATTATATTCAGCGATGACGTACGAGACATAATGATAGTACAATTTTTATGTGATATGTAAACTTTCGATGTTTATTTTCCAGCGGAAGTATGATAGTTAAAGTAAAGCACAACGTACTTTTATATCAAACATTATCGGATTTTAAATTTAATATTAACTAATAATACTATTTTCTCGTTATTTGCAAAAATTTCACTATTTACTACTATTATCGTTTTATTTTCGTTTGCTACAATAAGCATTTAACTCCCCGTCTATCTCCTCTCAAATGTATACTAATTAAAAAATTAAAAAAAAATAAGGTTCCGTAATTTCGCATAGCGTAGCGTTAAATATTGTCGCATTAAAGCTATAACATTGGGGGGATTGTCTTTGGGGATGTTTTCCGTATTTTGGATATAGGGGGATTTTTCTCTCACTTTAAAGATTACTAATTTATCGAATATAACTGGTAGTATTTGTTTGTTTAATTAAAATTCCTCATTGTTACTATTTCCTCATATTTTTCTACAAATTTTTCTTTTGCAATTTTCATTTTAATTAAATAACAGATATAGTAGTTGTATAAAAACATGAGTTTTAAAATTATCATCGCTTAAAATTTCAAGCAGTCTCTATTTATTGAATTTTGAAATCCATTAATCTACTTTTTTTTGCATTTGATGTTAACCACTGCCATATTACAAAATGATACTACAAAATAACAAACTACCATACTACAAAATGATATACATTTTATTGTTACCCTAGCACTTGTACTTTAAAATGGTACGAGTCCATGGATTATTGCTTCTAGATATATATCGTTGAATCACTTTCCGTCTTTTAGCCATGGCTAATCTGATGAATTAATGACAAAGTTTCTGAAAATTTAGGATGAAAGAACCATTGAATAGCGAACTACTCGTCGAGTCATTTCAACCAACTCATTTTGGCAAGGTAAATTTTTTTTATTTTTGCTAATGCCATTGGTGTTATTTGATTATTTAATACAATAACATGGACAGAGGGAGGTTTTCGATTGCTCATGGATATTCTGGCTTATTGATTAGAATCAGTGGAATTTTTCCATTTTCTGACTTTTTTGGTTGTTTTCGTTTTTATCAAAATCTTGCAGAATTAATCCTTCCTTCCATTTTAAGTGTTCAGATATACAGTTATCTGTCAACAAATCCCTACTTCGGAGCTGGAGCGGGACTTGCAGGCCTTGGAGTGTGTTTGTCGATCGCTCGGAAATTGATAGTGGCATCGAATACATTATTCAGAAGGCGGTTCTTGATATCATTGCAAATCAGTAATGAAGACCCGTGAGTACTTAATTATACTAATCTGGCTAAACATTTAAATCCATTTCAACAATTTCGATATTATTATGCTGAAAACATGAGCATGAATTGAAGCTGTGTTGTGAACAGTTTTCTCGTGGGCATATCTTTTTTTGATCCATTTAATTGTTTTGAAACTTATATATATAGTGCATATCCATGGTTGCTTGATTACATCAACCGAAATAGCGCACGTCAAACTCGGCAAATCTCGGTACATACCTTGATCAGCCAAGCAGAAAGTGGCCGAACTGTTACGAATTTCACATATTTACCAGGACATGGAATGCATTATTTTACGTATAATTACCGATGGATACAGGTTCTCTCAAAGTTGAATAATAAAATTCTTCGCTTTGTGGCGAGAAATTTTTTTTTTCATTTATATTGTTCAGGTGGAAAGACAGCGAGAAAAGCAGGTTATACAGAAAGGAAACTACCGCACACCTTTTGAAACGGTCACATTGACAACTTTGGGTGTGTCCCATTTTTGTTTCTTGGCTTATTTTTGTTTTTTATTCTTGCTTTTCTTAATATTCAGAGCTTCTAATTACAGGTGTTAATGTACGTTTTTTGACAAATTTGCTCGACAAAGCCACTTCGGAAGCGCTACAACATGTGAAAGTTTTTACGACTTTATTTATTTGATTTAGGATTTGTCATTTCAGTTTAACTCACATTCTCCTTAGTTTCTTCAGACCATCTTTTGTATCATATAAGAGCTAAAATTTACGAAATATCGGCTTGGGCGATTTTTATTTAAAGGGAAATTATAACAGAATTTTTTAACTGGGCAGAATTCGGCCTTTTGCATGTATATATGCGGAATGCTAAATGCTATATGCATATATGCTGAATACACAGAATTTTTAGGTTGAAACGGGTCTAGTTGTCTATCGAGCTGTAGGACCGGAATGGCGTCGTTTCGGTACACCAATGCGGAAAAGACCTTTAACATCGGTTGTGTTAGACGATGGTGTTGCAAATTCAATCGTGAACGATTTCCAGGAATTTTGTTCATCTTCCAAATGGTACTTTCAAATAAGTACACTTTCATTAGGAATTTTTTTTTCTCAACAGTCTTTTGGTTCGAATTCTAATGATGTTCACCTTGTCATGGTTTTTTCGTTCTAAAGGTACACGGAACGTGGAATTCCATACCGCCGTGGCTATTTACTTTACGGACCTCCTGGATCCGGTAAAAGTAGTTTCATTGCCGCATTAGCTAGCTATTTCGGTTACAGTGTGTGCATATTATCACTCAGTGAACGGACCCTCGACGATGATCGCTTAAATCATCTTCTGAATACCCCACCTCCTTGTGTAAGTTACTGGTCAAGGTTAAACAAAATTTATAGGCTTTTAAAAAGCAATTGATTTTTATGTTTACTACATTCACTGAACTGGCTACAGTAAATTGGAATTTTGAATACAGAGTATAGTAGTATTGGAAGATGTGGATGCCGCTTTTGGTTCCCGTGGCGATCCAGTGCAATCTTCAAAAGCCTACGAAGGATTGACAAGGTAGATCAAGTTTGTAGTAGGTGTATTATTATTGAAATTTATATAAAAGCCATAAATTTTCAGTGGCAGAGAAAGCGTTTTTTTTTTGAAATACGTCCCTTACCTGTAATTTATTATGGTTAAGTTTAGCCTTAAAAGCTGTAGTTGGAAAACTGCACTTGGGTTTTGGATTCAAGAAACAGTTTGATAAGACTGTGAAGCCACAAACTACTATTAGGAGTTGAGTTGTTGTGGAATTTATCATTTACAGGGTAACATTTTCGGGTCTGTTGAATGCGATTGATGGTGTTGCTAGTGCAGATGAACGAATACTTTTTATGACAACTAATTATGTTGATCGTCTTGATTCAGCTCTAATACGCCCAGGTCGTATTGATGTGAAACAATATTTCGGTTATTGCACCGAAACTATGTTTTCCGAGGTATATTTTTTGTGTTTATGAAATGCTTTTACTAACCAACTTCATGTGGTATTGCTGAAATTTCGTGCTTTTTACCTGAAATCGCATATCTCCCAACTGGTAAATATCCAAAAATCATGCATTTCAGAGCTTCAAAGAGAATCTCGTAAAATTTGCACTTAGATGGAGATCATGTCGTAACGAGTTGGTTCTCATTCCTGAGAATTACTGAGTATGCAAAATAAATTTAGTACGTTTTGAATGGACTCGTTAAAAATTATAGCTTCTTGGTTTATATAATCGGCAAAGGGAGAAAATAATATCATTTATTTCATCGACAGAGAACATAGCTTTTACAGATGTTCAAGCATTTTTACGGTGATAGTATTTCCGAAAATATGGCTGTGAAATTTCGGAAAGCAGCAGTAGCACTAAATATGAAGATAAGTCCAGCCCAAGTGCAAGGATACTTATTGTTACGCAAGGAAGATCCGCAAGCTTCTATTAATGATATTGCAATGATTACGCATTGTAAATAAGTACAGAAAATTTCATTAAACATTACAAAGCAACTCTGCAAAATGGATTACTTCATTAATAATAACTTTGATTTTGTGCCATTTTGAAAGTATTCTTGTAGTATGATTGTTTTATTGATTCTGTCTCTTTAAACTGTACATTATCTGAAATGGATATAGTATGTTGAATCATTTCATTGTGGAATGCTGCACTTTCGTTTTCTGCTTTAATTTATCGAATTTGGTTTTTTGTTTCAGTTATATTGTTATTTCACTTTCGTTTTATCAGCAAACTGAAACCGAAGCATGACAAAATGGACACGTTTGATATAAGGGGGAAATATATATGATAATTTTGCGCTAAGTACTTCGATTATTTCTGAAAATTCTGTATGAAATGAAAAACTATGGAGGATTTTTGTAATGTTTCATCACATATTCGAAAGCGCCTCTAAAATCATGATTTGAAGCGTTCAGATCAGTTGATTACTTGTAGAAAAGAACTAGCTACGGGTATATGGCATATAAAATGTAATTTTGAATAAAAATTGATCAAAAGTGGTAGTTACCTTGTTTCTGCAAGGGTAATTTAATCGTAAATGGAAGCATTTGATTGTTGACAGGCATTGTTGTCTGAAATTATGTTAATTGTTGTTTTAAGATTTTTCATCCACTAATATTGTGTGTCCCGATAAAGGTTTTTAAGGGACTTAGAGATTTTCAGTTATACTGCAAAAACATACCAAGAGAAGGATAATGGTGAGCAATAACATTATCCTGAAAATAAACCGAATGAGATTAAAGAAAAAGGTAACATAAAAAGGTTGGAACCGAAGTCAACAAAGCTTCAGTTCCGTATTTCATGAGTTGAAAATATATAGCAGATGAGAGGGGAGGGATAAAGAAGGCAATACATTTTTCATTCCACTAATTCTTAGAGAATTTTGGAAAGACCCAACCTATCTATTGGCCGGTCCAGAAATCGGAACACTTCGTCTACTCCAACGGAATGTCTGTTCCACAGCTGGAAAAAAATTGGGACATAAATTTGAATAATGTAACCACTAGACCGCTTCTGCCGCATTTTTGACGCGAGCGGGAATTATGAAATAGTTGAGAACGTATTGCATGGGTACCACTGGAAGTGTTGCTTGGGCAGAACAGTGCAAGGTAGGGGTCAAGGTTTCGGTCAACGCTTATGTGTTTTTTTAGTAGTTATTGTGGTCATTATTATTCTTTTTAAATTTGTTTTTTGTTTTTAATGTCGAACAAAAGCGTTCTTTTCTTTTCAGCAATTATACTTCATTTTTTCTTTTTCCCTTCCTTTTTTTATCAAAAATGTGATGCAAAGAGGTTACCTGTAACATCGTGTAACTTCAGTTTCCATTTGTTCAACCAATTAGGTTAAATTGGATAGTGAATGATAATAGCTGTCATAAGCCATTTTGCATGAATAGATATTTTTAACTTGTTGAACGTTGTGGGGTAGCAACATGGCTCAAGATTCTTGGGGAATTAAGGGTTGATGGTAAGAAGTGGAGTAGAAGGAAGCGGGAATTAGTTTGTATATAGCCTAAAAGGATCCAACCTGCTTGGTAACTTCTGAATTATCGCAAATGCATGGTCAGGAAACACAAAAGACAACTAAAAAATATAATGAAAAAGATGTTAGTGCTGAAAGACAGAGTTATCAGTCGATGATCATTAACATATTATTTTGAATTTCATTGCTCGATAGGCAGGAGGGATTTGTTATTTTTAAATTTAGGAAGGCAATTATTTCTCAACATTTCAATGCGAAATTTAAACGCATCGAATAAAAAAAATGCAACTAAACATTCTTGATAGATTATGGTTTGTTATAGATTATTTTGGTGAGGTATGGATGAGCGATTAGGTGATGAAAATCTTTCGTCAACATTATTGAAAAAACAATTGGAACGAATCAAGGAAAAGGTCTATTACCTAAATATATATGAAATTAGTTGTTAATACTCTTTTATATAATATTCTAGATGTGAATCATCTTCATTAAAATGTTTATCAGTGATAGAAGTTCAATGACATCACTTTTCCTTCATTGTTCTAACTTGGAGTTTATCAGTTTTTAATTGCTTCCAGTTAGTAAAACTAGATTTAGGCTATGGATATGGATGATTATAATTTAGTTGATTCTTAATTCATTGATTATTTAATTATTTAATTTAATGAGCATTTAATTTAATGAGATCATAGTCAATGCAAAGTCGGTTTATGGCAACTTAGCTGATGCATGCATGGTAGTCCCTCCTCTACACTGTTGAGAATTTACTAGTTAGTGCACACTGTTTTAGGAAGAAATCCGAAATGTGATTCACGAATTAGTAGAGACGGAATTTTCAGTGCCTTGTTCACTTGAAGCTTATGATTCGGAAAATGCTAATATGCAATTTTGGCGTTTTATGGCTGGAAAATTTGCTAGTGAATTGGACAAGTTACGAGCAGACAATCTTAATGTGAGAAAAAATGAAGTTTTGTAAAATACTAGAATTTGTCTTTTGATACATGTTTAAATAGTTCGATGAAAGTCATAGCTTTTGATAGTAATATGACAGCTTTATCATTGATGTCAGCGTTATTTAAATTAGATACTTTTATTTACCAGACTTGAAAGTATATTTGGCTTTTGAACAAATTTCCTAATGTCTCAATTGTGCAGTCTTCTTTAAATTATGTCACAAACCAATTTTATATCATTCATTGATGCTATTATTGTCGTTTCATACATATATTAGTCCTATTTTAGCTAGAAAATTTGATAAACAGCGGAAAAACTCGTCTAGAAGAACTCAAAGATATGAATACCGAATTACTGGAAAAAGCACAATGTCTGGATAATGGTACTAATGAGAATAAATCCTCCTCTCCATCATCATCATCATCTTAAATGTATTTAATTTTAAAAAAACTTATTCTTTATGCTGCTGTGTCCTCTTTGATGTTTACTTCGTTGATTTGAAAAGAAAATTTTTTAATTATGACATATTTTTAGTTTTTGTTAGTATATTACTAAAAAAAATTTCGTCTAAAGCACGAGTATGTGTTAATGGAAATGAAGAAGTTGAAGTACATCACATATTTGTAACCATCACTTTAGCAATGATAAGGTGCTGTACACGTTGTTTAACGCTTCGTTGCGAAGTTGAATCAATATTTTTTTTATCACAACTATTTATCGGCAAAGAAACGAGAAATAATCATTTTAAGTGGTTCGTAAGATATGCATTTGCAATCTTTTCTCAGTATGTTCTATAGCTATATATACTGTTTGCTTCATTTTGATAAAATGTCAAGTCATTTTTCTTTGTTTATACTTTTTTTAGAAGTTTTACTTTCTCTTGTCGGTATTTCCTACACATACCTTAATCTTTGTCCACTATTTTATTTTCAATTTTGATGAGTACTTGATATTCAAGCTTATTTGCTAGGAATTGCAAGGCTTTTTCAGATGGAGTTAAAAAATCGTTTCATTTCATCCTTTAACCGGAATACTCTCTATGTTTTTGGAATGTATCAATTTTACTAACATTTTCACAACATGTTTTTCAGGAATCACACTCTGAAAGGGCTTCTTAGATATTACTTGTTTGTATTTGTGAAATGACAGCATTTAATTCTTAAAAACATTTTGATGACATCGGTGAAGTACTGTGCTTTTATATAATTTAAATACTTCTTTTGTTTGTTTTCTTTTTTCGGATTTCAGCTGCTCACTTTGTAAAAACTTATAGTAGGACGTTTGAAAATATGCCAGGTGGAACACTTTGCCAGGTGCAGAATATATCAACACATGCAACGCGGAAAGCAGGAGAATTGAAAGTTTCAAAAACAATAACTAATGTCAAGGTATGACGTTGTGTCATTGTTGTATTTTATTTTACAAATTACTAACGAAGAAGAAAAGAATGATTTAGTTTATTAACTTCTTTAAGTGTTCTGCCAAATTAATTCTTTCAAGGTTTGGAATAATCTCTTCCAAACATGGTTCAATAATAGAGGTTACTGCTTGATGGAGGACGCATTAAGTAGCAATTTTTTATCTTGATAGAGCTTCATTCAGCAATTTGCGATTTGTTTCTTTTGTTATAAGTTGGAGACTAAAGTTTGCAATAGGAAGTAATCAGTCGAAAATTTTCAAATAAAAATAAGTTAGTATCAAAACTCAATGTTAAGGATGGATATAAACAAAGCGAAGTCAAAATCGGGAATAAGAATATAAAGAGTGTGAAGAGGAATTTCGTTGATACTGAAGAGAAGTTAAACGAAACGAAGGTTTTAAAGGCGGTACTTCAACATGAGAAGCCAAACACTGTTGAGGTTTGTCTTGTTTTATCTACCTCGCCATTAGCATTGTGTTTTTGGTGTTTTTGAATATCAAGTCTGACTTTTGTCGATAATTATGCAGGCAGAAAAGAAGGAAGAGAGGGTCTGAACGATTACCTTCTTGTTCAGGAAACTGATAGCTGTGGGGACACGTAAACTTTTTTCTAGCAAAATTTTCATTAAACATTATTCTCCTTCCCGCACACAAATTGTTCATTTGAGGAGATGTAAGCTTTAGGCGCAATCTATTTTGTTTCAGGCTGCAGTACAGACCGATGTAAAAGTTAGCACTGAGTTGCCGAAACTAACACTTGAAGATCTGAGATCTCCAGAAGTTAGTGCAAATTACTGGCGCCGATTGGCAGAGCGACTGTGTATCGAAAATGAACAGAAAGCACGAATGAATTTTGAGGTTCAATTATGCTGAGTTCGTGATATTTATTATGAGTACGCGGAGAATTTGGAGAATTCAACAAAATTTTTTTTTCAAATATTTTCTTAGTTGTTACAGATATGGAGTTGTTTTTAGGTGAAAAATCACGAAGCATGTGGTATTTTTTACATAGTATTTTTCATAAATTAGATGAAATAGGCAGCGAAGTTGAAAAATCAATCATATGTTTTAGTCAAGAGTGTAAAATTTGGAATTTTAATAACAAGTGAATTAAGAAAAATATACGTTGCAGTTATCGATTCGCCTTGCCAAACTAAATGAAGAAATTGCGGAGAAAGAGGAAGATTATCAAGCGCTTAAGCATTATATTTCTGACCAGGAAAATACCGAGCACCTTGCCGACTCTGACTTGAACGAAGATGAGGAAGATGAAAGAGAAGAGGAAGATAGCAGTGGTGACTGCGTTCGATAGAACTGTATCATCTCGCTATGATTAATATAGAGCCACAAAAATTAGCATACTAATCAACTGCACTTTATGTGTTTGAAGTGCTTTAATGTTTCATTATAATAAATTCGATTAGGAATATTTCACGTTTTGTTTTTCTTAGATAACTGTCAACTTTTACATTATTTTTCCCCTTTTGTTGAATATTTCGATATCAGATAACTGCAGTGGTATGACCTTTATTTAAAAGCAATAATCTTTTTCAAAATTTCATATGACCATTTAATTTGTAGCTATAATACAGAGTGGATTAAATTTAGGGAAATTGTATGAAAGGAACCGTTCCATCTACCTATCCGTCTGTCAGTCTTTCTTTTATTGTATAATTACATTCATTGTTTTGTCATATCTACCTTGTAAATTAATTTGTTTTCTGAATATATGAGTTGCAATTACAATGAGTTTTATATCCACTCATTTTTTATTAAATTATTGGTTCATTTGATTCATCTTCGTGTTTTGCAGCGCTTATGTTTTATTTGTTTTTAAGTTTTTGGGCTATCTTCTTCTGCTGCTTCTTAACTATTTCTCTGTTGAAAATAATGATTTAAGAATATATGACTTGGTGCTATGATTTATGTGGATATTGCTTCCCAAAATTTAAAAATTTTTACCACTGCTATTTTAATTTTTATTTCTGAATTTGGTTAAATTTACTTGCTTCTGTTAATTTTATGGCTCATAAATTACTAAATAATCTATCACCTTGGATAGTTACTAACATGTAGTTTCATGTATTCTCTAGATGACCTTATGCTGATTGCTAACATTTAAATCATGCTTAGGCAAAGCAAAGATTTGCAAGTTTCTGTTTATTAAATTGCTTGCCAAAAGTAACTGAAACCGTTTTTTTTTGTTCTAGCAGTTTTGCACTTGTAAATATATTGACATTGTGCTAAGATTTATTACACTTCTTGCTCTGATGTCTATAAACATATTTTGCTTATTTTCATTTGAAATTTAAAAACGATTTTTGTTTCAATTTTTATTATTATTCGCTACTTATTGTTTTCGATCAAATCGTAGGGTTTCTAGAACGAGCACATTTCAAATCTATATTCTTAAATTTTACTAATAAGTCAAATACATATGTATGGATTTCGATACGAAATTTTTTTCAACATCTTTGTCTCGCCCTAAATTATTACAATGATGTAACAATGAAGTGTCTCTTTGGATCAGTGAATATATTGGATGCATATTGAAAGCAAGCAATATGGGTAATTTTCTGTGCCAGATATATATTTATCCCATTAATTAATTAATATTTCAAAAGGATTGATGGTTGGCGTATATGCGTGCTTGTTCATTTCATTCCAATCTGCACAGCTAGCATATGCGGATAGGGAGGGTATACGAGACTTGTATGAATAGTTAGATGGGTAGATGTTTAGAGATGGGAACATGGTGACACCTGTCGTGGATTGTCATTGCCAAGCTAAACAATCAACGAGGTCATCAAGTTCGATTTTCGATGCTTGTTCGTGGCTAGTATTTTACGGCTGAATGATTGCTTTCGAGTATGCTGTAATTTTTCAACATTTAAAGCTGAAGAAAGGAAAAAAACATTGAAATGTGAGTTTTGTTCCTGTATGAAGTATTCAATTATTCCTGAAGAAATTATTACGTATAATAGCGATATCATAATAACATTATCAATAATTTTATCTTCAAAATACCAGTGATTGAGGTATTTTAGATATCTCATTAATTGCTGTAATCCGTTATTTTCTTCTTTCAAATCTAACACGATCATTTCTTATCAATAAGTGTTCAGTTATTTATTACCAGGTTAAACATCATCATTTTTCTTTGTTTAAATTATGAAAATCCTTAAGGTAAAAAAAAAAGTTACAATTAATTTTATAGCTTAAAGAATGAAAACTCAGTGGACAATAACAGATATGAATATTAAACGAATAAGAAATTTGCAAAAAATCTAACAGAAACGAAATTGATAAAACCAAAAAATTCTTATAATCGATCGTTGTTAAAAATATTTTTTGCATATTTATTTCTTTCTTTGTAATAATTGCCGAATTAAAGTATTCGGTTGCCTAAGCTTGTTGTTGTTTATTTATTAGTCAAAAAGAGGAATTTTATCATTGAATGATTTAAAAATTTGATTATAATTAATGATAAAACACAATAATCCCGTATATAAATTCAAAGAAAATAATTCATATTTCTAAAAGAAGAAAATCTGAAAAAGAAATGAATTTGTAAATATTGAAAGGAAAACAAAAAAAGAGGGGAAAGATAATTACTGTACGTTTAACAGGTCTGCTAACGCGAAAATTATTCTACCTATGAATCAATCAGTAATTAACTGCTTATTTCTGGTATATAACGGTATAATATTTGGGATAGGATAGAATAAGAGAAAAAAGACAAACGGTAAAGTAAAAAGGATGACGAGAAGTGAGAGAGGTGAGGTAAAGGTAATGCGGTCACCTGAAAGAAATTCAATTTGATTTGATCGAAGATAGGAAAAGAGGTTTGGAAGAAAAATGAGACATTGCCAATTAATTATATTATGCTATTAAGCATGACGATTATAGCTGAAACACCTGATATTTCCGCGATTATCTTAATATACTAAATCACACATACACACACACACACACTCGGAGAGACAAATACATATACACATACAAATACATATATAACACACACACACACACACACACACCCGTACATATAGGCATAAATAAATAAGCTAATAAATAAATAAATAGGCAAACAAATAGATAAATATAGAAGTATATACATAATATACTTACATCTTCACATATACTCATATATATATATATTTCCATATATATGTATATCCGCATAACCTGTTTCTAAAAATAAAATTGAATTCAAAAAATGCAGTTCAAGTTAAAATTCGAAAATTTATTAAAATGTTGAAAGAATAATTTCAGATATACACTTTTATTATATTTCATTTTTTGTTTCAAGTTTATTTATTTATTCCATTTTATGTTATTTGCATTTTTTAGTTGCTTTTCATTTCATTACTATTAAAGCAATCAAATATGTTTAATTTTATTTGGATTTTATCATTTCGAATTCATAATTAATATTCAGGAAACTAATAAAGCATTATTATTAATTACAATTGTTATCATTAACTTTGCTATTACTTATCATTATTATCACTTGCTATTAATATCATCACTTTTATTTTTACTTGCTATTAATATTTCTATTACAGCTGCTTGTCACGTGTCGATTGCTTGTGATAAGAATAAACTTTACTATCAAATAATCATATTGTATTATTATTAAAAATATATTCCTTATACTATAATTTTATCAATGTCTTCAAACTATTAAATTATAAAATGTTTGAATTGTAAGGTAAAATTTTCAGGAAGAAGAGTAACATTATAGATTGCCGAAGAAATATTTAAACTTTTTAAGCTTAAATCATTCCTTTTTCAATCATATATAGTATCATCGTAGTAAACAATCGTACGTATCATCGCAGTAATAATTTGCATATTACATCAAAAATTGTTACTCATTTACTTCTTTCTCCTATTTCTCATTTTCCTTATCCAATATGGTATCTTTTGAATGTACTAGTAATAACGTCTTGTGATTAGTATGATTTTATTAACTTAGCAAATGATCATACAATAGGATAGAATTATAAAATGGAATTGTTATCGTAAATTAATAATATTTGATGATATCAGATATATGTTCAATTAATTAATTGATGAGCATAAAAAGGGAAAGGATAAATGAATGGTTGATGGATGAGTGATGTATGGATCCTATATGAATCCCCCAAGGGGAATTTGAAATGAATCAAAATGATTCAGATGTCATCAAATAACAATTGTTCATAAAATCTTTTGATAAATATCACCGCTCACAAATATTTGAATACTGTAACATCTCATGGGATTGTTCATTGTCCATTTTTGTATTATATTGAAATAAAAAGCAAAAGAATGCCGACATATTAACACACAGGTCAATTTTAATCCATTTATTATTACTTTTAGTTGTAGATCAAAAAAGTTCAAAGGTGAAATTTTTTTTTGAAATTTTTCTTTTCATTTGCTTGTAATTAAAAAATTTTCATTAGTTAAAATCATTTATGTATATTATTTTTAGTTATAGGCCAAGGAAATTTAAAGATAAAATTTTTTTGTCTTTTCGAATTTATTTTTTTGTTTGTTTTAAAAGATTTTCATTTGATAAGAATAGTGATAAGATTAGTGATTTCATTTGATAAGATTAATGATGAAGGAAATATGATAAACATTTTTTTCCCTTCTTAAATAATTAAATTTATATACAAATTCATAAACGAAAAAAGCGAAATTAAATATGCTAAAATAAAAGGAAAAAATTATGCTAAAAACAATAGGCAAAACATTTTAGACTAAAAGGAAATTTTAAATATAACAGGAGAAAATTTTTAACTTCAATAATGATTTCCAATAACAAAAAATATCTTATCATTTGATAATATATTAATTAAAAAATCAAATTAAAAATTCTTCTTTTAAAATTTGCATGAAATTTTGTTTCTTCCAATATTTGATTGTTTTGGATTTTTACTGATTGGCGTTAATATTAATAGTACAGGTGATAACATTATTGTTATCACCATTATCTTACTACTATTATCATCATTTCATTCATTTATTTTAAGTACAGGTGATAATATTATTGTTACCACTATTACCTTAATACTATTATCATTTCATTCATTTATTAATTTATTCATTTTAATTATTGTCTTGATTTCTGAATAAAATCATCATTACTATTTTTATTCATTTTTTGAATTATTATTTTAATCTTTGAATAAATTTTTTTCCACAAATCAATGATATCATCATTATTGTGATTAGCTTCAATTGATTCATTACTAATTATGCAATATTCATTAACAATAAAATAGAATGTATCTTAATCGTCTACGTATTATATTTACTAAGACTAAGTTACAACTATGCGAGCATATTTATTTATGCAAAGGAGGACAATTATTCCTTTCTCTCATATTTAATGCTTTCGTTTGGGAAAAGGAAGGCCTAAAGAACATCCCAAATAGGATAGAGATAGAACGGGAAAGTGGACAAAATTCTCATACTTGACACTTTTTCAATGCGACAATAGCATCCCTTAACCTCACTTAATATTCTCATACCGTAATTAATGGATGATATTTGAAAGATGAAATAGCCTAAAGCTTTAAGGAGGAAGTATAATGGATTTAATTTTTACTCTTTTAAGAATACACTAATAAAAATGAATATTGCAAAGATTATTATAGCAATTTTCCGGAATAAAAATTATTCAACTAATTTTCCGGAATAAATCGATTTCTTTATTTAATCAAATATGATTTAACAACGGCAATACTAAAAAGTTTTATATATATATAAATAAATATTAAAAATAATTGGTAATTAGAAATAGGTAATCAGAGCCTTTTTTTTCTCTAGATATAAACAATCGGTTGGCAATAAAGAATTAAAAATAAGAAAGTTTAAAATTTGTTTGAATTAAAAAATAAATATTTGAAATTTTTATTTTGAATTATTTTATGCAAAATTTACTCAAAAATATATTTTAATCGAAATAATTCAAAAAAAAAACAAAACAATTAATTAAGTTTCAGATTTATATTTTTTAAAATCTTTTTTTGTTTTTTAAAAATGTAATCAATCTTTTTTTCAGTTTTGTATGCATAAGTGAAATAATTAGTTTTAATTAAATTGTTTATAAATAAATTAATGATCGAAGATATAATTATATTTCTAAAGTTTTTTTTTTCATTTTCTTTTTCGTTACATTAAAAAAATTGTATTTTTACAATGTTTTAAAATTTAATTAAAACTAATTTAAAATTTATTTAAAACAAAAGGACAAGGAAATTGTAAAAATATAATTTTTTTCAAAACCAATTCTTTTGTTTTGATAAATTCGAAAAATCAAAAAAAGGGAGAGAGAGAGAAGAGATATCAATTGATCGTTCGTTTGTCTGCAATTAATTATAGCCATTAAATCATCAGTACGACAATATATGATGGATATTCCAACCTACTACAGCTACCATCAATTCATTAACTCATAAAACATTTATGGATATCATGTATGCGTGTATGTGTGCATGTGTGTATGTGTATATACCTATGTATGTGCCTGTATGTTGCCGATTTAATTTAGACTTTGATCAGAATTCCTTATTCACTTCCGTTTTTCCTATTCTTTAGCATTGAATAGATGGATAGATAGATAAACTGAGCTTCCCATCATCAGAGTCGATTAATTCCACTCAAATGGACGATCGAACGAACTATAAGCATATGTTACATAGAGTGACTATAAGGGACTACTAGTATCATGCAAGAATTCTGTTTTGGAATCAATATTTGAAGTGACTGTAAGAGGTTGCTATCACATATAAGAATTCCATCTTAGAATCTGTAATGATTTAAATGATTGATATTCATTTATAAGTTATAAAAATACCTAAATAAGAAATGAAAGAAGAAAAGTATTATTGAAATGATGAATAATTTTTGTAATTAGAAGATAAATAATATAAATAATAAATGAAAATAATGATTGAGATAGTTATAACGGTAATAATAATGATAGTGATAGTGATAAAATCGTTGTTACTGTTAATAATAATGATGATGATAATTTTCATTTCTATCATTTTATCATTTTAGTTCTATCATTTTATTTAATACTACCTTTTTTAATTTTATAAATTTTGTTATAATTATGAAAATACGTATCGTTTGGATCAATATTTTTCTTAATACAAATTTGAAGAAGATCGATGATAAAATTTAATTTCTTAAACAAAATGAAGAAATATCTAATGAATTTCATACCTAAGCTATTTAAAACATACTATTAATCTTATTTGAATTCAGATTTTCTTTTCGTAATTTCTATAAATTCTTTTTTGGCGAAAGAAAATTTAATGATTTGAAAGTTAATGATAGGAAGGAAAATGAGAGTTTATTTTATATAAAAAAGTATGCATTTTATTGTTGAAAATACTTTGTAAGTATAAAGAACAGCTGTTACTACTTTATATGAATGTATTTATCTCATACAATGCCAGCTGTTAATAATTATCAAATCTTAATATCGAAAAAGTAACGTGATCTGTTACTTATCATACATTATAGTCTTATTAGTCATAATCATCTTCGCTTCGTATATAATAAATATTAGAACGGCTGATTTAATATAGAGATTTGTTAATCAAAAAATATATATTCCATCATACAATAATATTATCTTCACGATCATTTTGGTCAAGAAATAAATGAAGAAAAAGTGATAAACAGTCTAATCTTAAATACAATAATAATAATGATACTAATAATTATTATAATTATAATTAATAATAATTATTATTATAATTATAGTATTATTATTAGTAATAATAGTAATGATAATAGCAATGTTAAATTGAATATTTAAAATGTTGCGGTAAGGTTGGCAATAACCAATCTAGCAGTAATGATATTTGCGTTGGGATTACTTTTTGCTAAATATCTGTAAACTTTTCCTTACATTTATTGATGAAAAAAATTATTACAATGTATTATTTATACGATAACATATTTACAAGTTTAAAATATTAAAATAGTAAAATATTGAAATATTATTAAATCTGCGCCTCTTATTCTCTCTCTCTCTCTCTCTCTCTCCCTCTTATAAATCTAAAAATGAACTGAGAGTAATCAACGATAATAATTGAATGTTCATTAAAAATTATGGGAAATTTTGGGTAAAATTTATTAGATGCAATTGGCAGGTATCAATCATGTTAAAACATAATATAATCAATAATATAGTTATAATATACTGATAATACATTGAAAAAAAATAGCCAAAAAGAAAGTTAATTCTTTTAACATTGAATTTAATGAACTTTTATTTTAAAATTAAAATAACAGTAATATACTGTATTATTCATAACAAAAGTATATGATGCTTTTCTTAATGATCAAAAGTTACGAATTACTTAACAGAAATCATTATTATACGTCATTATCAGTAAGAGCGCACTATCGGATACTTCACAAAATCGATAGTATGCTGCTTTATTCGTAATAAAAAAAATTTATTGATACTTAAAAGAAACTGATAGTATATGGTATTTATCAGTAAAGACAATAGTTGTTAGCATTTCACTAGGAAATCGATAATGTACAATATTATCAGTAATGATAAATATTATCAATACTTTATTAAAATCAATGATATATCGTGCTATTTGTAATGGAGGAAAATCATTCGTATCAATAATATTGTTCATAAAATGATAAAAATTATCGATATATTTTTTATGCATCAGCGATAAATGATGATGATATTATTATCAGAAATGATTAAAGATCATGAAAATTTCACATCAATTGATGAAAATGAAAATAAAAAGAGAGAGAGAGAGAGAGAGAATTTCATACTTTCGTATCTTTTCGAATTTTTTTTGTTGAAATATTTTTTCATAAATTTGTTGAAAAATGAAAAAAAGTGCAACATCTACATGAAATGGTTGTTAATAGAAAAAGGTCTGAAGAGAAAACGCAAAAATGAAGAAAGTATATTTTCAGGTTTTTTCTCTCTCTCCCTCCCTCTCTCTCTCTCTCTCTCTTTCCACCTCCTCATTCCTTTTTCTTTCTCTCTTCATTTCATTTTCAAAATATCTTTTTAACAAATCAGAATACACTTTTAAGGCGGTATCAATAAATATTTGGATCAATGCAACAAGGATACGGTAGATGATAAAATGAAAATAATGAGAGAGTGAGATAGAGAGAGAGAAGGAGAATAAGTAGAATGAAATAAGTAGGCGCATGTTCAATCTATTTGAGAAGCTTTTTCCGACGATGCTACTCATCGTATCGACCAATGTGAAGCAAGCGTGTCACCCATTTTCAAGCAAATGCCATATTTATCTCTCCACCTTCTTCTCCTCACCGTTGTTAAACTTCTAAATAACCGATCGACTACTTTGGTTGCCGAAACTGTTTTATCCAACCAAAAATTCATTCCTATCTTTTAAAAAAACAAATTGGTTAAATTTACAGTTATTTCCAGCTATTCTTACTTTTTCGTCTTTTCTTTTAATCGGCTGGCAATAAAATATTGTATAAATTATATACGTAAACAAAAGGAATAAAAATAAAGGAGAAAAAGAAAAGAAATGCAATCATCACAACGGTTATATCCTGGATTAAATACGATTACATCTACTGCTACAATGACACGTTATTCACCTACCGGAACCGGCGCAACAACTGCAGCAGCTGCATATCGTACTCGAATGCCTAGTGTAGGTATTCATAAAACTTATCATTATTTTTTTTTCTAATCATCATTAAATTATCTTCCCCGTTCAATTCATATCTTCGTTTCAATCATCTCTTATTTATTTATTGTTTTATTTATTCAAAATATGTTTGTTTACATCTGAATATATCTACTACTATAGAAATGCAATAAATAAATTATCAATTTAATAAAATCATTTAATCAATTTCTTGATTAAAGTAAATATGATACAGTTTACTATATCATATTTACTATATTTACTACACTGTAGTAGTAATGAGTTAAATAATTACAAAAAATAAATTTTTATAATATTCAAATTTATAGCAAAATAATGTGACATATAAAAACAAATACAATAAGCATATTTTATTTATTTCTCTATCTTGGCTAAGCTAATATTATCAACCAGCAGACTAATACAAAAACTTTGCTAAATGATAATTATAAACTGTTCATTCGTATTCATTGAAATATTCAATCATTTCCAATCACTCACTATCTTCGCGTATATATCTTATGTTTATGTATGGTTTACAGATATAATTATTTATTTGCTTATTGTTTATTTATTTATTATTTATTTATTTGTTTGTTTATTTGCTTATACACATACTTAGTTGCATATTTGCCTGAATTTATATGTATGTAAGTGTGTGTATGTGTTTGTAATTAAAAGTTTATTTCTGTTTATTAATCCTTTTTTTTTCATTTGCTTATTTATTTATTATAATCAATCATATATTATTCAATTTTACAAATTAAAATAATCTTTAATGAGGAAAACAAAAAAAAAACGAAACAATACAAATATATGTATAGGAAAAAAATGAAATTAAAATTCATTTAAAATTTATTAAATTTTAATAAATAATGTTAACTAGTAGTAAAGACTATAAGTATCCTTTGAAAGCTTACCTTTTTTTATTCTAATCTACCTCTTCAGCTAATTTAATCTTATTTTACATCCTTAGAAATTATGGTTGAAAAATTTTTTGAAATTTACAAAATTTTGAAATCATCTTTTTCATTTTTATTTGTTTATTTGTTTACTTATTTATTATTTATTTGTTTTATTTATTTATTATTTACTTATTTGTTTGTTTAAAAAAATTTTCAAAGTTATCTTATTCGATTTTCATATTCATTAATTTTAAGGTGATTATAAACAAGTTAGCTTCAAAGATGAAAAAGTTTTGAAATAACTTTTGTTTATTATCAATTAATTGTTAATTAGTTGCTTTAAAAACCAATAAATACGCGAAATTATTTTATCGAAAGTTTTATTTCAAATCATTACATTTGAATGATTAATTATGAATTAAAATTTTTTGTTAAGAAATGAAACAATAGAGTAATTTAAATTTTCACAAATATTTTAACATTTATTAAATAATTTGAATGTTCTTGGATTTTTTTAATTTTTGCTTAGTACTTCAAAAATTTTCGGATAATGTTATGAATAATTTTGAAGAAATCATATACTTTATTTAATTGTACTTTCAATCCTAAAATTAAAGAAAGAGAAATTCAGCATTCGATCTCTCTGTGAGAATAGTATAAGGTAGAAAATACCCAATTGACAGATAAGCTGAATGATATATATAAATCTAAAATTTGAAGATAATTTTTTCGAAGTTATTTTTCTACAGATTTCTTTGCTACTTCAAATTTCAATTGAGTTTAATTTCAGGCTTCGTAACCATTTTTGTTTTATCTTTTACTTTTCAAAAACTTTTTTGGCTTAAATCAAATAATATTATTATAATTAGGCATTCTAAACTTTAACTTTTAACCTTAGCATACAATATTACTACATTTTATGAGAAACTTCTAAAATTAATACTTTTTAGAAACTTCATAAATACGATATACAACAAACAGAATGTATAACATCCATTCTTTATATTGTATTCTAATTTTAATTAACTAAATATTTTTTATAATTAAGTATGAGCTTTATTTCCTATATTAGTATGATTTCCTTTTCTTTCATAAATTTCAGAATTTTCAAACAAATTCAATTTTTGGCACTTTCGATGATACATTATTTCAAGCAAGAGCAGCACAAGCTGCACTTGCTGAAATTGACGTTAAAAATGTCAATGTGGCTGCTAGTGGAATGCTTCGACCATCGGATATGTTTACGTACGTGTGGTATTTTCTTCATTTTGAGTTTGAAAAATTATTAAAATGTTATAATATTATACTTTTCAAATTTCCAACAACGATATATTTCTTGAAATTATGATAATTTATTTAAATATAATAAATGAACAAAATAAACGATCGTTTATTAAGTAAGCATTTTCAATTTGTCATTCTAGCTATCATCCTACCGCAACATCACATTTGCCATCGTCTGGTGAATTTGATTCATCTACAATTTCACAAAGTTCAATTATCGATTCATCCATGAATCATGCAGCTGATTCAATGGCTTCCTTACAGGTAATGAAATTTTCGAAGCGATAATTGATCTCTTTTTTTTTTTTGTTTCCAATGTTTTATGGTATCAGTTAAATTAATTAAACAACAAATACGATTTATTCTTCCGTAATTTTCAATTCATATCATTATATATTGCATGCATGCTTCTAGCATGTAATGGCGATGCAACACTATCCAACTGCACAATTTTCCCAATATCCAATACCATCACCGTTTGCAACCGCAACTGCAGTTGTTGCATCACAAAGTGCTGTTGCTGCTGCAATGCCAATATATCCTTTATCTGCTCAAGCCACAGGTAATGATAGGAAGAAAAGTTCAAAAAAAATTTATAAACTTTTTTCACAGAAATTTTTTCATTTTTTTTAAATAAAATCGTTGAACTTATTTAATTAAATTACAGCTTAATTAGCCACCTATATATTTATATCCAAAAAAATTGCATCAAATTTAACAATTAATTTATAGCTAATAATTAAAAATTTTAATGGAATAAAATAATGGGAGAGAAAAACGAAGTAGAAATAAATAATAAACCATAAATTTGCATATTACAGAATTGGATACAGATCCACGTGAATTGGAACGTTTTGCAGAACATTTTAAACAAAGGCGTATCAAATTAGGCGTAACTCAAGCTGATGTTGGTAAAGCTCTCGCACACCTAAAAATGCCAGGCGTTGGCTCATTAAGTCAATCAACGATATGTCGATTTGAAAGTCTTACATTATCGCATAATAATATGGTAGCGCTGAAACCTATTTTACATTCATGGCTTGAAAAGGTTTATTAAAATTCATTCTTAATTTCTCATAAAATTCAATTCCTGAATTATTTTATTCGACATTCTAAATTGCTTAAATGTTTTCAAGTAAATATTCCACAGTAATTGGTATAAATTAAATAATCAATAATAAATTGATTATTTTCAATTTTATTATTTTAATATTTGATAATTAATTTTGCAACAACAATTTTTAATTTCATTTAAACTTTGAAAATTCCAATAGAAAAGATAGGTAAAAAAGAATAATGAATTACACCTATTTTTGTTAACAAAATAAAAGCTTGCTATAATACTGCAAAAAACAAATTGTTTCCTATATTTGTTAGGTAGACGTAAGTGAACTGCATATTTCACGTACGTAATTTGCATGCTTTAATTTTTATTAAATCAAAGAAATAACAAAAAACAAATGTTGCAAAATGTTATATGCAATATAAATAAAAGAATTTGTTTTAAATTTTGTTTAGCATATAAGTAAATTTCACGTACGTAACATATGAATTTTTATTAGGCAGAGGAAGTAACAAAAACAAAAGATGTCGCAGGAGACGCACAAGGTATCTTACCAAATATGGATAAGAAAAGGAAGCGAACATCCATTGCAGCACTTGAAAAACGTTTACTAGAAGATTATTTTCGGTAATAAAATTTGACAATTTATAGTTTGTCTCTTCTTTAGTTCTTTTTCCTGTATTAATTTAATGAAATGAATTAATTGATATGAAATGAATTGTTTAGCTAAATAAGATAGTATTGTTAACTTCCTTAAGCAATTTAATTGTTAATCAAATTTGGTAGTACATTTATTTTATATCCATTCCTTTTATCCTTCAGAAAATCCTCAAATGCTGCACATAGAAAATAATAATAATGTTAATAGCTTCTTTTTTCCGCCATTAAGTATTTTCTTTTTCCAACATTAATTCATTTTTTGATTCAAAAGATATGGAATGATTATTATTGCATTAAATTGAAGACATTGTTTATAATACTCTTCTGATTTGAAGTATTTCAATTCACTAAAACTATAATTGTTATTATTATGATGATGACGATGATGATGATCATCATCATCATCATTATCATTGCTATCACTAGATGATCCATAAAATAACAATATCTTTTACAGACAGCAGCCACGACCAAGTGGTGAACGAATTTCAGCAATAGCCAATAAACTCGATTTAAAGAAAAATGTTGTTAGAGTATGGTTTTGTAATCAACGGCAAAAACAAAAAAGGTCAGTTATTGTTTATATTAGCAAATAGAGAATTTAATAAGTAAAATACTCAATTTATGTAAGATTTAGAAATAAATCGAAACTCGAAAAGAATAATAACAATCGTATATTTTTTGAAGAAAATGTTTTCTACTTCAATTTCAAAATTATTTAAGAAATTATTGAATTTTTCCAAATTATATAAATATAATCATTAAATTTTCATTTTTATAATCACAAGTTCAAAAGGTTAAAGGGGCAAATTTGCATTAAAATTCAAAAGTTGAAATATATAAATTTATATTTCTCATGCTTTATTATGTATATGAATTGAAGTAATGAGGAGAGAAGAATATGATGATTTTGTTTTTGATGAATAAGAGGAAAGGAGAAGGAGTAATTTTAGGTAAATTTCAAAATAGGGTACTATACATACAAATTGCAGTACCATACATTATCGTAATCGTGCAGCTGCCGTATCGTACACCAATCCATCATCAATTTTGTAGATGTCGAAATCAAAATGTGAGTGCGCCACGGATGATAGGAGCCAATATCAAATGTTCACCATTTTCCAGCGGCTATTTTGATTGAAAAAAAATTTAAAATTTTTCATATCGTGTGTTTTATTTTCAAGTTGTTGTTTGACGTAATTTGTAGCATATATCATCGCATGTAAATCAGTGATTTGATCTCAACATTGATGAAAATTATTGAATCCTTGTAAAACTTTGATCGCAATTTTGTTGATTGTTTTAATTGAAACTCTTTCGTTTATATGTTCTCTTGCTAACTTTCCGTAGATGATTTTGAAATTTTCTTCAAATTCTAATTTCTTCTTTACTTTAAATTAGCACGAAACTGCTACAATCAGGTGATCGATTCGTTGTCTTTCATAATTTCCACGGATAAGATTGAAATAGGAGCCATTAGAGAAATGTTATGTAAATGAATTTATAAACGTAAATTAATTACTATTGAATTTGAAAATTTCAAATTAGAATTTTATATCATTATTTTGTATAGATAATTTTCATTTTGGTACAAACGATTAGTGACTCTCGAATCAGGCTCTAAGTTTTTCAGGGTGAATATCGTAAATTTCAACATGCATTACGTGTCACCAAAAATAAAGTTTGAAAATTTTAATATTTTACTTGTTACACTTCCTCATTTATTTATTTCTTATTGCTGCATTACGGTATATGTGCATTTGGCAAAAAATCGATTATATATTTTATATTACTTGCATTTTGCTTCATCCATATGAAATGTTTTCTTAGAACAGTATGGTAACATTTAGCAAACATCGAATATTTTCAAATTTCTAAATTTGAATTTTTACGTGAAATAATTTCGAATGGTTCAAGAAGTGTAGTATCTTCATATTCTTATTTATGTTTATTTCATTTCCAATCGTTTTATACACAGAAGAAAAAAACAAAAAAGGAAAAAATTGAAAAACTGGTATAGAAGCCTTTCCTGTTTTCAGCCTTTTACGTATCCATCACATTTTTAAGATTTTCAAAAAAATCACGAAGACTGGAAATAAATAAAGAAATAATCGTACACCAGCAAAAAATTCGAATTTTGTTTTTTTCAAATGAACGTAGTTTCTGATAAAATTTTAACACTGAAATTTTAAAGATTAAAAATTCAAACAATTTCTCAATGTGCACTATCGCTGAATTGTTGATGATTGAAGCTAATCGATAAAATAAATTTTCAGAATGATTCAAGAGAAAATTAATAACGATGAAAAATTATCTTTTCATTATAACGACGACTAATAATTCCTAAGCAATCAGAACATCCCACTACGCATCTTCTTGTCAGCTTGTCGTCGTCTGAATTCACCTTTACGGCGTTCTTTTAGCTGCCGGTCCCGACCACCGGTATATCCCGGTTTATGTTTTTCGTTAGAACCACTTCCTGATGGATGTCCCACCTCTTCGGCTCTCTTTGCACAGGCATTATTCTGATTTTTTTCACCTGGTACAAAAGCATTTATCACTTTTCGATCATTCTTTAAGTGTTTTTTCCTTCTTGCATTATCTACTCCGGTTTTCTTTTCCTCCTCATTCTCTGCATTATCGTCCACTTCATCACGCATTGCTATACGATTCGTATTTGGTTCAATTCCATCTTTCTCGATCGCAATATCACCATCCCTAAAATATGACAAGAATTGCAATATCGCAATGTCATATGAATTCTCCAAACAGGCTGTTGAAAATTTTCAAATTTTTGAAATTCACTTCATCAGAACTTTGAAATTATATATGACAAAACGGGTTTATGAAAATCGGACTACCTGAATTCCAAATCATAGTTTTGGTACTGATCATCATATGTATCATCATATTCATCATCATACATATTGAATTCCGGCGATGATGTTCTCGTATAACGATATCGTTCATAGGTTGGCCTCAGGGCAACCTTTTCAGAATCTGGCACATCAAACATTTCAGTGTGTAATGGCTTACTGCAAAAGTTAGAATCGTTGATTGTAGAAAGTAATTGGGTTTCAATAAATCAAAAGAAAATTTAATTTAGTATGGTTAAAAAATAAATCCTTTTCATTGTGGGATAGAACTAAATTTGATTAGGAATTTAATTTCAACTTTGATATAAAATTAGGAATAAGGCTCAAAATATAAATCTCACTTTTTGATTTGTGCATCCATTTTTCTTCCCTCTAAAAATGCTTCGAAGCCAAATTCAGCTTTTAAATTTTCCCGGCCATTATTTCCTGTTTTTGTTCCGGAAACACTTTGAGCAATAGTAAGATTAGTAGATGGCTGTAGTGGTTTCATGCAAATCAATGGACTTTGCATCCTCGCTTTATCGTCGGTAATTTCATCATCTGAAGTTTTAAATAAAGCAAAACTCAAAACAGCAACTTCAAATAAAGGAACTTAAAAAATATTTGCAAATTTTCCTGATGCAAAATTAAGAAAATAAACAGGACATAATATAAGAAAGGAGTGAACTTTTTAGGAAAAGATTTTCCTGTCAAAACGATAAAATTTGAAGTAATTTTTAACTTTATAAATTCCTTCAACTATTATAAAATCTTGCCAGAAAAATATTTTTATAGATTAAGAGAAAGAGAGGGAGAGAGAGAGGTAAATAAGAGAAAGAGATACAGAGAGCGATATGAGAAAGAAATGCGGAAAATGTGAGAAAAGAAAATTGCCTAATCATTAAAAATTCATTGGAATTCTCAAGTGAATAGGTGGGTAGTCATTGGAAACAGTGAAGCACATATTGGCCCGGAAAATATGTATAATTTTTTTTTGTCTCCTCTTCTTCCTTTTCCTTACTCTCATCTATTTTCCATTTTTGTTCACTTTTCCACTTACTAAAATTAAATAAGAGATGAAAGAGTATGAAGATTGAGGAGAGGATTAAAGGGATGATAAAGAAGGAAAATAAGGAAAATGGAAAGTTGTAACAAGTTAAACGTTATCACCTGCAGCTACAATTTATGCAAATCTATTTACCTGCTTGAAATATTTTCAGATTCTAATTCTAAAGATAATAATACAAACAATAGCGTTTTAATTACGAACTAAAATATTATATAGCTTAAAATGTAAAAATTTTCTGAAACACTGATTTTTTGGAGGGAATGAAGGAATTCAATCATTCACTGTTTTATAAATAAGTTTAAAAAAGAAGAAAAATTATTGGTAGTTCAGGTTAGCAAAAATTTTCTAGGTAACCCTACGAGCTTGAATAGTTAAGTGAAAATTAAATAGTATATGATAACTTCAGAAGAAAAAAAAGAGGAACATGAATAGAGAAAAAAGGAGGTTTGATATGTAATTTTAAGCATGATATTCTCATATACCAAATATAAGGAATGAAAACCGTAGGATCTTTTTCATTATAATAATATATGATAGATGAACATTTGGAGAGAAAGAAATATTATAGGAAAATTTGAATAGGTTAAGCAATTTAACGATGAAATGGACTTAAACACAATCATTTAATCATGATCAATTGACACCTTCTCCATGAGGATCATGCATGCCCTATGCTCATAAAAGATTGTGTTGTAATAAATGATCGGACAATTTTTGAGATAAATTTAATAATAATAGAAATATACCAGTAAAATCATAAAAAGGAGACGACCCGTCAACAATCATTGGCGCACTTTCCGCTTTTAATTCTACCGAAATTAAGGCTTGCAGATCTAACGGTAATTCAGTAGTATTTAGCAATGCATTTGCTGTTTGTTCCGTTTGATAACCGAAATGTCGCAAGCATAACTGAATCAAATAATTAAATTTGAAAATTATAAAATTTCAAGGAAATAACAAATTTAAACTTGTCATTACAATTAAACTCAATTTTTAATGTTATGTTTAACTGTGAATGACGAACTACCTTTATGCCAGAAATATATCCACAAATTTCAAATAAGGTCTGCAATATGAAAAGAAAAAATGTAAAAACAAATTCTGTATAATAAAATTTCAAAATTAGATTTTATATAAATTTTGACTCTTAAAAAATCCATGAATGCGCTAACAAAGACTAAAATGAGTCAAAATACATATCAGATACTTGAAATGAGTTATAGCATATATCAGACAAAGCTAGATCTAACAATTCTTAAAATTAATCGTTAATATAGAATTATGTTCTCCGCAAGCTTTGCAATCCAAACTAACATGGATAAATTGGGGCGAAAAGTGAGGCAAAAGTTCGGCCAGATAATCGATTTTTTCCTGTACCTCTTGAGTAGCCGATGATCCAAGGCTCTATAAACAACAACAATTTTCCGGAAACTTAACATGTTCCTTTCATAAAAAGGATCTTTGAAAATGATAGACTGAATTTATGGCTTAATTTTATATTATAGAGAAATTTTTATAAATTCTGATTTTAGGTACTTCTTGCGCTTCCAGTTTCAACATTAAAATGTTTAAATTTTCTGTTGATAATGTAAGAGAATAAATTATGGGCAATACACGAGATAAGATACATCGAAAAGCTAAATAGCCAACTAAAGAAAAAGCAAATAACAATTAATAACTTACAGCAAGCATACCACGCTTTTTCAGTTGTTCCAAAACATACGCGATACAATTCTCTCTGATATGCTCAAGAGTAGTATTGATATATATCTTTTGCTCTTCATCACATCGATCAAGAACTTCTTCGATTGGGTAAATAATAGTGTAATAAAAAATAAACCTGAAAGATATTATAGAGTATAACTACCTAGTAAATAACATGAATTTTTGAAATACAGAAGAAAAATCTATTGTTATACACGAACTATAGGCTCATTTACAAAGATCATCACGAGATTACTATTTCGATATCATGGATATTTCGACAATCAATGAACTTCATAAAATTTCAAATAATTTTTCTAGTTACAATAAAGACCTATATACCAAAAGAAGTAGAAAAAGTACTCTTACTGCTCAAATTTACATTCACCAAAACATGGATGGAATTGCAGAGAAAATATAAGCATTTTCAAAGAAGTAAAAAAACGAATAGAATACTAAATAAAAATGTTAATTAGTTCGTTCGGTTTTTGAAACCTTTCGTATTGGAGGCAATTAACAATAACAGTATATAATTCATCTACTGAATTAATGCAGACAATTGAAGTGTGAAAAAGAGCATATGCCGAAGCTATCACGTTATCCACCAATGCCAACATTATCCTGAAATTGTAAACAAAGGTATAGCTCGAAATGAATCTAATCAAACATCAGAAATAACAGAATATTTAATGTGATACGTTCATTATTCGTAGTTGTGCTGGTAAGTGAAGCAATGGAACAGCAAATTTCTACAAATATATGGATTTCTTTTCTGAAAGAGATTTGAGGTGACCTTAAATCTGATAATTGAGAGTTAATAATGAGTTTACCCAAATTTTTTTCGCAAATCTGTTGATATATTCATCATTTGTTCCATGCAATAATGCTCTTCCAAATTCTCCACCAAAACAGCTATGCTAAATTAGTGTTCCGTACGTTCATTTACAATGAAATTATTGATTAAGCTTTATAATTAACGGACAAGAATCTCAAATTATGAAAATCAAGTATGAAAATTGGCGAGAATGGAAAGTCGATAACACTGTCTTTTGAAATGCAACTTCCTAGTTGAAATAGATATATTCAACAATAAAATATGCAACAATAAAAATATGCAAACAAATGAACGAATACATACCTATTCAAGAAATCACATAAGATCACTTGTGATAGATGTTTAAGCAATAATGATGAAACAAGTGTTAATCCTTCAAATCCAATCAAACACTTTTCCAAAAATTTTTCCAATTTATTAATATTGGTTTCAGAAAATGCAACATCATTATTATAATCGTTTAATTCCTAAAATATAAAAAAAATATTGAATTGACACTGATAAACAAGTAATGATTTGATGAAATTTAGCACAGATAAGTGTTGTGAAATAAAGATAATATAACCGGAAGCACTTTTATTAATATTTCAAAGCAAAGTTAGTTTATGCAGATAAAGCCAATTTGTTCCAGAACATTTCGAGATAAATATGAATGTGCATTTTTCACAAACTCGAAGAATCCTAAATTATTATAAGTATTTGGAAAAAACATAAAGCAAAGAAACTTCACTTCATATAGAAGTTCCCACCAAATTAGGTAACGATAAGATCAGGGTAAGAGGGGAGGTTGTCAAGTTAAAACTAATAAACTTTAAAAATGTATTTCATTCGAAAAAAAAAATTTTCGATTTTCGACTTCATAAGTATTACAGAAAGAAAGAGATGACTTAAAAATATTACTTGTTCCATAATTTTGATAAATGTTTCAACATCCTTTTCTGTGAACTGCTTTGTATCAAATGCTTCTGTGACAATATTTTCGATAGCACTTCGATTTGATGTTTTAAATATCACAATTGCACGGAATAATCGATTTAAATCGAAAAGAGTACTTTTTTGACGGTTTTGTCTGCCAACAAACTGAATATATAACTTTAACAGAGAAGAAATCCTATTATTGAATGATTGCTGGAATTATTGCATTTTCTTTGGTAACATTAAATAATTAAAGTCAGCAAATTCGAGAATCTTATTTAAAGACATTTTCCAAGAGTATTTAATAAAAACTTTTTTCTTACAAGAAAATTATTTAATTATATTCAACTGACATGTAAATCATTCTTCATATTAATAATTATTCAATTTCCAAAATAAGAAATACCACAAAAAGCCAAGAAAAAAATTAGAAAAGCCTGTTTCCATACCTCTTTAGCAAGTTTCATAAAAAGCATCAAAATTTTTGTATACATTTCAATAATTAGGTTACGAATTTCTTCTCCATGATCCGATTGAAGATTTTTATTCAGTGCCATGCTTAACGCTTCATCTTTTCGCCAACTTCTGAAATTGTTGACAATCAATAAATATAAGAAATTCGTAAATAGTTATAAAAATTAGCTGAATTTTGAAAAATTTTAGAACTAACATTAACTTCAAAAAAGAGTTCTAAACATGTAGCAAAATGTTGTAGAGAAGTCATTTTAGGTAAAAAAAGATAGGATGAATAACAACAAATACTTCGGAAAAATATCAAGAAAGTTGTCAACAAGCTCTAAAATTTGTCGATCATCAGATAATCTGTTCCTTAGATCTGATTCTGGTAATGTTAAAATATTATTCAACGATTCCACGGCATGTCTCCAGTTATTGATCCAGCTAATAGTATCCGTATCAACTTCGAATCGTTGAAGTAACAATGCACCCATTGTCTAAAATTGCAAAGAAGCATTGAAATCATGGTAACAGAAATACTACTAGCCACAAAAAACATCCTGAAACGTGGCGCTTTTTAAAACGTACCCTTCCCAGAACAATTCCATACCATTTCTTAGTAGCTATTGAAATCTTGCAAATCTCAAAAGCAAACTACTATCAATACCGGAAAAATTCCGAATAACTTTATGTAACAAGCAAAACAAAATACATCCACCCCAATACTCCTCATATTTCCAGAAATTAGGACCAATTATCACCAGTTCTTGTAACCTTTATGAGATTTAATATTGTTCACGGCAGTAAATCACGCGGTCAAATAAAACCTCTTTCTAACTTTCCTAGAAAATTCAAAAACTAGAAAATCCAATTTAAAAAATTTTACCAACAAATGTCACAATGCACTGAAAACAAGTAAACTAATTAAACACGTTAACTTTAATTAAACACCTTTTATTATAACGAACAAAAAGTCATGTACAGTAACGAATTTTTCAAGTTCAAATTACACCTTCAATTTTAAACAACATCGATAAGGAAAAGCCTAGTTGCTAATCATTACTTGTAAATGGCTAACTAGCAAAAGAAATTTTCAAAATAGAGAAATATAAAAATTTGAAGCAAGGCGATACCGTTCACAAAATGTTACGATTATTGCAAAATGAATATGCGGTAAAAGAAGTGAGCAACAACAAAGATGAAAAAAATATTATTTGCCTATCCTTACCTATTTGAAGAGAAAACACAAATGCATCTGAATTGCATCTCAAAATGTAAAATGAATAGCGAGCTTAAAGTTTTCAAAATTATTTGACAATTAGTTCGGGGGCCAATTCATCTGAACTTTTTCATGTAGGAATTTTGGAAGCCATTCGAGATATTCATCCAAAAGGTATTCACTTTTATTCTTCCAAACTTCCAGTAAACGTATTCGATTCGTCACCTGAAAAATGATAGGTGGAGTAGCTGAGCAGCTGCAGTAAACTAATTATTTTTTCAACAAGTTCATTGGAATTCAAATTTCTGAAGTTAATGATATCCCTACTTCATATTCAATTAATGCATTAAGCAGCTTTTCTGTCCGCAACTGTAATTTTGCCCATGGTTTCGTCATTGTGTTTGGTGAGAGTAGAAGCTTGTCAGCATAAATTGCTAAAGGTGGACAAACTGAACCATCGAGGAAGAACTGAGCAAAGTAACGATACAGATTGATATTAACAGGCAATGACTGTTCAACTTTGCCTAAAGGCCAACACATATCGCCGAATGTTCCATTCATAAAAATGAGAATAGTATCTGTCACTGGGTCATATCTGAAAATTCAAAAATATTCAAAATTTCCAAATAAATCCTGGTTTTCAAAATTTGTGAAACTTACCAACCAAATTCTTTGAACATATAACTATCTCACCGTGGCTCAGCTTCCTTAATTGGCGTAAAATGGCAATAATTATTCGCCAAACGAGGTAACCAACTCTCCTCAACACAAATCACATTTTGCATATATTTTTTATTTTTCCGCTGAAAATTAAACCAACTACACATACATCATTTTAAATTAGATATTAATGCAATGTTGAATAAGATCTCAAGAAAAAAGCATTGTACACGAAACTTGAATTCCCATAATTCTCATAACTTAACATAGTAGCTTCCTTAAAGTACATAGGTCTACAACAAACCTCAATGATTTCTTGATAGAGCACCCAATCTGGTTCATCCTTGAATAATATAGAACTTGGATCGATGTAAATATAGTCCTGTAAATTACAAGTGTATTTGCAATATCTTTTAACTTCTAGGTATTTCAGTAATATTAAATAAGATATATCAGGAAAGCGAACCTTTAATTTTTGAGACTGATATGCCCCCTTGGGTACATTCTCAGTCGCTATTGGATCCACTCTTCTGGCTATATTATCAGTAAGTGAAGCAGTCACGATTTGCCTGAGACAAAAAAAATTTCGATAGAATGATTAAAATTAAATACAGCAATAACTTCACAATGATTTTGAAAACTCTTTTCAACTGGGTATAAAGCAAAAAATTAAAATATTTTAATCAGCCGATTTCACTAACCTTAACATTAGCATTTCTTTATCAGTGGGTGGCTCCATATCTACCTTTACCGTAAACGGCTTATCTTGTGGACATTTAGAATTGATAATTTTAGCCAACTGCTGACGTAATTTTCGAATTTCAATAAGCGCTTTACGACGAACTCCCAACCGATTACATTCCACTTCAGATCCAGATCCCTGAAAAATGCTTTCTGATATGAAAAAAGTCAACATAATGAATTCTTTCTCCAGTAAAAAATGCAACACACACGTACATATATATCTGTATATATATCTATATATATATATATATATATAGATATAAAATTACTAACTTCTGATGCTTCAGCACCCAAAATGGCTCGCAAGATGACAGTCAGATCGCCGAAATTCCGCGCTTGACCAGGTGGACACCATGATCGCCTTTGCTTTAATGCTTCAAGCATCAAGGTCTGCGTTTCTTCAGCATTTCCACCCCTGAAACGAAAATACTTCTTGATTGTTAAAAAAACATTTAAATATCTTATTGTAACTTTTTATATTTTATAGGTTACACAGAAAAGTAAACCTTAATGAATAAAGAGGAATGAGTGGTTCTCGAACTGACAGTGCAGCAACCAAACAGCAAGCATGAGCCATCAAAGAATGTTGATTTGCCATCACAAGTATCTTTGCAAAGGCTGGTGCCAATGGGAAAATAGATAGTGTTTTTCCAAGCAAAGTAATTCGCGCTTCTTTCTAAAATAACATTTACTTAAAGACTGCATTACATTTTGTCAAACAATCATCAGAGAGGAGACAAAAAAACGATCAATCATTTGAATTTAATTAAATTATGACATCAAACGTTTGCAAAAGAAATGAGGTCAGACGTCGCTATACGCAATATATATCAGTGTTTTAATAACATCAATAGCAGCATATTAAATACATTCTCTTAATGCAAATTAATTGCGAAAAAGCAAAACAATGTACAAACTAACCACGTTATTCTTGACCGTCACTTGCAAGGCACCCAAACGAATCAAACGCTTTTCAGCTTCTTCCAGCGAATCTTTATCAGGTGGTGTTGGAAAAGGGAAATTCGCAATCTTAAATACAAATTAAGCATAAGCATTTTTTCCAGAATATGCATTACCACCCCCAAAAGGAGTGTTTAATTTAAAGCAATAACCTTAATGATGTTCATCGACTTCAGATGAAGCATAAGTTGATCAACCGGTTTAGAAAGTATTTCTGGTGGACTAAATTTCTCGAAATCAGAATAAACCGCTGAGGAATACAACCTGAAATTCAATTTAATTGCAGTTATTTTTCGAAACATGTTTTGAGTGTGCAATAAAAAAATTCCTTTCAATGACAAATATTTGAGACTAATTCAGTGACTGTACCGTGTTATTCTTTGATAACTAAGGAAAAACAAAACCACAATGCATTAAAATAAAGCATAGTCAGTCATCTTTAAACTATATCGCTGCAGCAGTAATAATATAAATTAAAAAAAATATATTTAAGAAAAAAAGGACTTCAAGTTCGATAATACCTATAGACTTCGCCAGGTTGAACACGTCCGGCACGTCCAGCCCTCTGATCGGCTGATGCCTGCGAAATCCAACTTACAAGAAATTGAGAAACACCAGTTACCGGATCATAATGACGTCTTTTTTCATGACCACTGTCGACAACATATCGCACAGCAGGAATAGTTAGAGATGTTTCTGCCACGTTTGTTGCAATTACGCACATCCTGCAACATGCATAAGCCACATGCACCAGAAACATTAATTCAAAAAACAAAAAAGCAAAAATAGAAAATACTTGTAACTTAGAAATCATTGATTTGGAGGCTATTTTTAATAATAACGAAAATATATGTAGAAAACTGACCGGTGCCCATCTGGAGTCGGTTCAAAGATCCGCTGCTGCTTTTTACTGGAGAGCAGCGAATAGAGTGGTAGACAGAAAAGAGGAAGGACTGATGAATTTGGAGGGCGTGAAGTTTCAGGACAAAAACTCTGAAAAAAAGATCTGTTCGCACAATATTGTTGAACCGACATAATAAAGTCAGTAAGAATTTCCTCTATTTGATAAAGTTTTTTAAGACATTGACTTACGACTTCATTTATTTCAGAGCCAGTATCATCACAATCAAAATTATCAGCATCAGCGAACCTATCGTCTGTTAACTCTTCATCCGCAGATTTTTCAGTCGTTTTTGATCTATTCAAAACTTTCTTCTTCAATTCCAGTTTATTCTGCTTCAACTTTTCTCCTCCAACTCTTTTTCCTTTTCTTTTACAACTTTTCTGCCTCAATGATAAAAGAACATTAACTTCAATCCAACATTTTAAAGGATGAATGATTTTTCCTTAAAGAAAATATTTCAATTTTTTTTAAAGCAGATAAAGAAAGCCATTTTTTAGGTTAAAAACGCGAATTGATCACAATATTCTTTTATTATACAAAAAAATACCTGATTGTATAGCGTTCCACAAGCCACTTTAACAAGACCATAACCTGTAATAAATACAAGCTGGACCATAAATTGATCAATGTTAAATTATCAAAATAATTCGTAAAAATAGTTCGGAAGATCACTCGGATTTCTTCTAAAATATTATAAGCAACACCTCTAATCTTCCGGGAAGAAAAACCAATATCGTCCCAGGACCTTTCTTTTCATGAATTTTACATATCTTATGAAACGCAGCAGTGAGGTAATTTTCTGGTGTCCGCTTTTCAAAATGGATAGATACTGGATATTGCCTTGCATCAATGCTTAATACAGGTGGCAGCGATATAGGAAAAAGTCTGAAATGAAAAGGTAAAATAGAAGCTGACATATTCAATATCCTAATAGTGAATAAATTATGTGAAAGAAAAAGTTATAAACATTGAAAAAATGGATGACATGCAATCTACGAAGTACCTTTTGTTTTTAAAATCATCTATACGTAAAGTTGCACTCATGATAATAAGCTTTAATGGCGAGCCTACACGAAAGCGGTAAGGTGCTATTCGTGTCAACAAACCAATAAGCACATCGCTGTACATTGATCGTTCATGCGCTTCGTCTGGAAAAAATCCCTCCATACCAATATATAATGATATTGAAATAAAAATGAATTAACTACGAACGAAAATTTTGCTTTAGCTTTTAAACTTCAAAAATCTTTTATATAACAGCTTACCGATGATAATAACTGAATACGATGAAAGCATCACATCTTTCTGTATTTCTTGCATTAAGACGCCATCCGTCATGAATAGAATGGATGTTTCGGCTGACCGATTACCTTCATACCTTATCTGAAACAACCAAATCCCACTACTTCCCTCAAATTGAAATATTCAGAATACCAAATTTTGTCTCTATTGAGAAGTATATGTACTTCATCAAAATGAACTTTCTTTAATTTGTAGGCGTTTTGAGGAAGATTTAATCTGCGAACACATAATAAACCTACCGTTTACCGCAACATTATGAAGTATAGGACACAGCTTTTACCACACGTAATCAACCAATGTCAACAGTACTTCAGATAAATCCAATTTTAATTCTTTCTTTTAAATTTAATGTAAACCAAATAAACTTCCAAATTATACCTGATATGAGACTGCATTTGGTAGATTCATTTCTTGTGCTACACGTGCTGCCATACTTATGGCAGCTACGCGTCGAGGTTCAGTTATTCCTATCAATTTACCGTCACGGGCATAACCAGCTTCATACAAAAATTGAGGTAATTGTGTTGTTTTTCCAGAACCAGTTTCACCGCATATTATCGTTGCCTGATATTGAAACTGGTGAAGAAATTGCAAACTTTCTATTCCCGTGAATTTCCAAGCAATGCAAGGAACATGTAAAAGAAATAATGCACTCTTTAATATTAGAATATTTAACAGTCTTCCTGTCAATTTTCTCAATCATTTTATTAAAATAAATTAATTATTTCCATTATTTATTGAAAATTACTGGTAAACATACGCAATTGTCATTTATAGCTTCCATAATACTCTGTTCTTCAGCATATATAGGCAACTTTGACCGCTGTGCTTCAACACTTTCGCTGCGATGAACGAGGACAAAGTTGCTTTTCTGCGAATTTTTTAATATCGAAATTTTGTTCTTGACGGATAATATTTTAACCGGTAAATTTGCAACATCCAGCTCCGAAGTACTTGGTTCTAAAGTTTTAATTCGAAAACACAAAAAAAACTAGACAATAATGAGTCTCAAATTTTAAATATTAGAAAATTACTAAATATTGCTAAATAAATAAATATAAGAAAGTTAGATTCAAAGAAAAAAACACACCCTGCAAATGCATTTCACTGCATTTGATCTTTATTTTGTTCCCATCTGTATTTTGGTTAGTCAAGTTTTTTTGTCTTTCGTCCGTATTATCCTCAACTTCTTTTTCCCCCATGTCGTTACGGTGCACTTCGCCTATGGTGCACTTCGATGATTCTGCGTTCATTGCTGCTACCTTAAAAAAACTCATTTAAAATAGGATAGGCTTCACAAATTCGGCATTTCTAGTGCAATTATGCTATAAAGTAAATAATACTATGTAAATTCGAGAAAATCAAAGATTTTATATCATCTCCACAAAAAGGAAAGATAACCTCTTCAACAAGCGAAACCTCCTCTTCACTTTCACTCCCAGTCTCATAATAATTTTCTTGTACCGGCTGCTTCTTCAGCTCCGGCAAAGGGATACATTTACGACCCGCTAGATTTGACAATTTCTTTGGCACGAGACTTTCCTCTGATCTAAAAACAATGGAAAATCCCATTAAATGAGTATATAAGATGCAGCATTTCGGAATTAAAAAATTAAAAACGGTCTGGCTTCTATAAATCTGCCGGATTAGTCAAGCTCTGATTTATTTTGACCAAAAAAAAGAATAGAAATGATAAAGTTAGGTACTTATCAGGCTTTCTCGGATGAACTTCTGCAGTGAGTTTGCTCATTGTTTCGGTGGGTAATTGATATTGCATCAAACTTTCCAGTAGTGATTCTCTCTGTAAAATAAAATTAAATCAGCATTATTTTTACAGTTGGCAAAGATTTGAAGCTTTGTTGATAGTTAAATGAGACAATCTTTTAATGAAATGAATTACCAAGAAAGAAACTAAAAAATGATTTAATATGAACAGCTTTTCTTCAAAAATTATAAGCAATTTTGCTGGATTTTATATCAAAACAACGGTAAATTCTCACCGATTCTTTCTTTTCCTTCCTCTGCATTATTTTCACTAGCTTCTTCCGCTTAGTTTTAGATATTTTAGCTTCTGTTTCTTGCAGTCGTCTTTTTCTCGCTTCATCTTTCTTCCGGTTGATTACTTTATCATCCGCTTTCTTTACTTTTTTCTTCTTAAATAAATGATGGAAACCAAACGAATTTACTGCATGAAACTGTTGTCATGAAAATGACAGAGGCATAAGCTTTAAAAAATCTGCTGATTTTTGTACTTAAATGAAGCTCAAGTTACGACAGTTTGCTGATTTTAAAATAAAAATCCAACTTACTTTCGTCTTCACTGGTAATACGAGAGCATTAGACGTATCGACCGGATTATTATAATCAACTGAGCTCATTTCAGTTTGTTCTAAACTAACGCATCCATTTTCAATTGTGCCTTGCGTGACTTTCTTCATCTTTGCGGCAATATCGATAGCTAATAATAAAGTACAAGTTTCAGAAGCACAAAGAACCGATTAAATATATTGAAATACATGAAATATTATTAACAAAAAATACCATCTACAATCAATGATGTGAATTGGTGGGTGATAATTCATGAAGAAGCAATGGATTGAACGGAGTCAAACAGATTAATGAAATTCCAAAAATCAAATAATTAGCAGAATGACGCAATTCTACTTGAACATGCCAACATAAAGTGAAAGAATAATTTAGGAAGAGAGTGGAGTATAAAAATCTTCGGGATATAGGTGCGTAATTTAAACAAACCGTGGAGATACTCCACTGCGATTAACCTAGACCAGTTGGTTATTTCGGCATTTCCGACTATGGAGATGACTTTTATTCCCACTATTGTAAGACCCCTATTGATCCGGTATGCATAGATGTAGCAAACTTAAGAAGAGGTAGATTAAGCGTAGTGACTTGAGAGTAAAAGAACTGAACTGAACTAAACGTGAACGGAAGCCGGAATGATGGTAAACTAAAGCGTGCGATATGTATTGCTGCCACTCCCTTTTCCAGAAGATTTATACAAAGGGATGGTCTTAAAAATTCGCCGTGAAATTCGTCCAATTTTGGTAAAATATGTTGGAGCTTAAATCTCACCGAAACTTCTTTAACTCTAACAAACTTATTCAATCACTTCACAGACAACAGATTTCATGGCATTTGTCTCACCTCCTTGAAATTACAAAATCCCATCAAATTTGTAGAATTTCATTAAATTTGTGAAATTTTTTTGTGACACAATGTATGAAATACATTTCCCATACAGCTACTATATGTTATATTTCTCAATTTTTTTTACTGTAATTATATTATAGTTTGAATCTTTTACAATACAATTCATCATTTACGATAGTATATAATAAAAAAATTCAAATTACTTTAAATTTCATATATCTATTTTTGTTTTAAATTTCATATATATTTCGTATTATATTTATTTACTTACCATCTTTCTTCCTTTCGTATTCTTTTTCATCTTTTTTCTATTATTCTTCTGTATTGTTTCAATCATACTCTCCTACTCTCTTAATTACTAAGAAGAAATACCTGAAATTATTTTAACAATTCCATATTTATTTCTATTTTTATTACATTCATTTTCTTCCTATCTTTTCCCCCTTTTTTTGTCTATTATTCTTTTCTCATTCATATTCCATTCTGTGTATTTCTCTCTTTCTCTCATTCACTTACTCTTTCCGTCTGTATTGATATTTACAAAAATGTTTCATTTCAAACATTTGTTCACATTTCATACAGAAATGAATTACTAAGATAAGAAAGAAAAAGGCGATGTTTGAATCAATTTAAATCTAAAAAGTGAGATTATCGATTGGTTAAAGCGATTGTTATAATGTTCCATTCTCTTCAGTCTCGATAACCTCTCTTTCACTCACATGTTAGAGTGCTTTTTGAGGTCATCGATGTGTTACACTTCAGTAATTATTCTCTTCGCGTCCTTTCCTGTATTTCCTCATTTATTCCTCCATTCAGTATTACTTTCATATCAATTTGGAAATGTTCTAATTGAATGTATACGTATATGTATCGAATACAAAGCAATAGCATATGTTTACGTATGAGTAAACGTATATTTATGTTATCTTACGTATATTGTCAAATATAATTACCTATAGAGTATGTGAATATGTGGATTTATTTTGCGTATGTTTTGTATGTGAATGGATATGCAGGTCATCTACTGTGGGATGTTTATATTAGATTTATATTAGATCTACATGGATTTATGAATGTCTCGTGTAATATTTATGTAAATTTCAAAAATTATTAAAATTCCATAACAAATTTGAACCTTAAAACAAATCATTTCATAGGGTTTCTCGTTATTTAGTAATGACTAACTTTTCATTCGAATTTTATTTCAATATTTAGGAAATGAATGCTCTATGCATTATATCAAAATTGTTCGCTTATTATTATCACAAGTAAATTGAAAAGGATGGGAACCTTTGAACTTCTTGAGTGTTCCTTTCTTCATCTCACTTCTATAGGAGAAGCCATTTTCGGAAATATAGAGCACAAAAAAAATCCATGAATGAAAAGGGTTGAGAAGAGGAAGAGATGAGTTTTAATGTTATTAGAAATTTTTTATCTACAATTAAATTTTTCTGAGCGTTAATTATTGCAATAATTGATGATTGTTAAACATTAGAAATTTACAATGTTTACATATATTTCAGTGAAAATGTTGCTGCAATTCAAGAATGCTGGATTTTGTCGCGTCTTGTCTCAAAATGTTCCGGTAACCATTACAGTTATTCAATTCTTAGAGAAAAAATGATATGAAACTGAAATTTGGCTTAAAAAAGGCTTGATAAAGTCGTTGAAATAAAAATGAGGGATTCTTGTCAATTTTCATTTACTGTTTTGATAGGCAGTCAGTATTTACATTGACAGTGAAAAGTCATTCGTTATTTGTTTACTTGTTTCTACAAGTAAACCTATAAATATAGAGCCTGAGGTATGGAGAAGTTAAGTGTATGTAAAAATGGGCATTGATGTGATAGTTAAAAAAAGGGATACGTACTACAATATTAATGAGATTATTCAGAACTTTAGCAACAGGAAAATAATGATAGAAGGATGGAGGCATACTTAATTCTATCTTCAGGTCTTACGATTGCTAAAAACTAGTGTTCTGCAGCAATCTGTCAAAACTCCAATTCAAGAATGGGGTTGGGATTATCTGTTGCGACAACGAGCTTTGAAGCGACCCATCAGTCCACATCTTTCAGTATATAAACCTCAGGTTACATGGATGGTTTCTGGATTTCACCGTATGGCAGGATGTGCTATGGCTGGTGAATGCTTTTTTTTTGCGAGTGTTGAATTTTTATCAGCAAAGACATTGTTAGCTGAAAATAGAATGTTTCAGTGAGAAGTATCTAATCAAAAGAAATCTCAATCATATTTCAGGTACATTGTTGATTGGTGGTATTGGTTTTGCTCTGCTACCGTTAAACTTTACTACATTTATTGAATTCATTCGTGATCTTGGGTTACCATGGGTTATAACCGATACGTTTAAATTTATTATTGCTTACCCAATTGCTTTTCATGCGTTGAACGGTATCCGTTTCCTTGCATTTGATTTGGCTATGGGGACGGATATTGCTTCCGTGTATGGAAGTGGTTATTTGGTTCTTGCGTTATCGGCATTGATTGCATTAGCAGTAGTGATTGCACCTCGACTGAAGAAAGAAGATTATGGTGTTGTTGATATGCCAAAGAAATAAATGTTATTTATTTCATTTCAGACTTCGAGATTACAAGCTCTGAATGTAAAAATTCATTTTAAAAGTGTAAAAAATTACACTTCTTCTTTTGTTAGACAGTAACTGACTGATATTGTTTAGTTTTTGTATTGTGCCATTTACTGATTGTAGTTCAATACAATTTTGATTTCTGTGAATAAAATCTGAGTTTTTTTTGGGACGCGAATGGGGTCACAATAATGTAGACAGGAATATCACTATGTGATTATGGTCACAATAATGTAGACAGGAATATCACTATGTGCATTTTAAAGTCTTGTATTTTATTGTTTTTACGTTATTTCGTCGCGGTTTTTTGTAATAATTATTTGTAATTGGAGAATAGATTTTTAGACATGTTTATCAGTGATTCAATCGCTTCCAAATATGATAAGTATGATGAACATAGCAGTGAGTGGTTGGGGTGTCAGAACGACATATACTGCGTACAAGTAAGTGGCATCTGTGTTTCTTTACATTAATAAGAAGAAATCGATTTGATATCTTGATATGTTCTTACTTTTAATCTTTTTAATAAGAATTTTGGAAAGGGGTTGGAGGTTGCTAGAGGCTCAAACAGATGTAGGACTCAAAGAACCGGGTTTCACATCATTTGGGAGTGTTAAAATCCATCACACGCAGGATATCTACATTTTTGAGAATTCTGAGTGGTAAGAAAATCAAATACTTAGCTCAAGTTCGTTTCGAAATATTACCTATTTTTGACTGCCATATTGTAGGCTTAAAGAATCTCGATTCGTTGCAGAGAATATCTAATTTTCAACATTCTGTTATTAATTTGCAGGATTTCGTATCTGATTATATTCAGTACCGGATTCGCATACATGGAAATCATAGCATATCAAAATTTATACATGCATGTAGGCAAGGTTCCGAAAATGATTTGATTCGTTCTGTGGCTTTAATTTTTGAGGAGAAACATGAAGAAGAGCTCCAAAAAATGATGGAAATGTTGTGCGAGAACAAAAGCTTTTCGCTTAATCAGTATATTGAAGTGAGTAGCGAGATACCTTCTACTCATTTTTGTAGAAATGATATTTCTGGTACTACTAAGGTAGGACATAGGGGTTTTCCAATTAATTATTAATTGGACTTTGGTCATCTTGACTAACCGTCTCAGTTATTCATGATAGTTTTATGAAGTGGAATTAATGAGTCTCTTACAATGCATCTTTTCCCAGATTATGGAACATTTCGTCTGTATTCAAGATGAAACACCGTCACAAATGTCTTATGGTCGTCTGATAGCACTAATCGCATTCGCTGGATTGATTGCTACACGGTTAAACGACATGAAATGTTTCGCGGAAGTTTCAATGGTTATGTCATATACTTCAAAGTTTTTGCAACAAAGAATTGCCTTGACATGGCCACATCACAAGCGTTCTTGGGTTAGTTTGCATTATAATGTAATATATTTTTCGATTTTGACTGAAGGGTAGTCTTTTATAGAACATATGACAAAGATATGGCTGTTGCTTTAAAAAAGAGTAAATAATTACCATTACGTAGGTTAGTTGTGTAATAGACGCTGGTTTGAAAAACATGAAGAATGCCTTGTTTATTTCGGAAAGAATGTTTAAAGTTTCAGACTCCCCTAGCAGGTTCTCGAAATAATGAAGGTTTAGGATTTGAAATGTGTTTTCTGGATCGCTCGGAATGGTGAAAGTTTATATTTTGAACTTCGTTGGAGACAGTGATGGAGAGTTCATGATCATTGTTCTTTTTATCTTATTTAAAGTTTGAATTGAACTTCAGAGCAAATTTTTTGATCTTGTAAGGACGATAATCAAGCTAAACAAAAAAGAAGAAGCAAAACCAAAGGTAGAGAAGAATAAATGGTGGTCAGCAATTAGCCGATTAGCTGTTTTCAGTGTTCTAAGTATTACCGTTTTCACATTATTTAAATTCATGCTTAGAGCACGATAATTTGTTTGTTGTTCATTTGTTTTCATAAATTTACTAAAGTTAAAGTTTCATTATGTAGTTTTTCAAAATGATATCTCTCTCTGCTTTACGAACCCGAAATAATAAAGGAATGGGTGAGAAGAGAAAACTATTGTTTGTATTATTCTTTGCAACTACTATTATGTGTTGCATAGCTTCTAAGTGCAAGATGGTTTCCATATAGGAATAGAGCACTTGAAAAATACCACGTTATGAATCAAGCAGTTGAAGTTATTGTTTTAACGTTGGGATGGTTAATTCCTCGAATAACTTTCTCAATGTTTCAAATTTTGTCCTTTTTTATTATGCAAATTATTTCTGCGCATGTTATTTCTCGTTTAACTATAAGTTTTCATATTTTTATATACGTATGACAATAATATTGATATTTATTTTTGGCATTATGTGATCTCGGAAATCAATCTTTCAGGATCAGTTGGATCTTTTGATTCAATTTTGTAGAGTTACCGGAAAAAGTATAAATAAATAGCGTTCTAGAATGATGTAGTAAACTTTTTAAAAAGCTATGAGCTTTCAACGTTTTTTGTCCGTTCATTCCTACTGTAAGCTTTAGATTGTTCTCAAACAGTCATCGATTTTTTTTGTTGAGCTAGCTACTTTCGAATTTTTGTTGATGTTATTGTTATGTGCTGTGAACAGCAGCGTATTTTCCTTTTTATAGATTTTGTTGATTTTGCAACAAATTCAATTTCACTTATACGATGTTCACACAGGATGTAACATATTCCAATTCAAGGGTTTTTCACGGTTTTTAAACTAGATTTAACTGATGTAATTAGGCACTCACACTGGTATCACAACTATTCTGGCATTTGTATGTTTGGTCGTTCATCTTGTACATTTCGGAAATAAAGTTTATCAAATTCTATCACATTTTCTGAAAAAGACCATGGCTTATAATCCAAAAAGTTCGAACATTTTGCTAATATTGTAAAATTTGTGAAGCCAAAATGGATACATCCACTGTGAGCATTTTTTTGCCATCAGGTTTCTGATTTTAGTGAATCTTATTTGCATTGTTTTAGGATTTCTTGTTAAATGGGTTTCGGAATTTACATCATAGCTCTAGGGATTGGAGATTTGTGCTGAAGGGATGTGGCCTGCGTAATGCGTGAGTGTTAACGATAAATAAGGTGGGAACACATTTCGCGATGTTTTGAGCAGTTGTAGGAAAGTTATGTGCTCACGTTTTATGTTCATTAACACAGTTATAACGACAAAAAGCTTATTTTTGAGGAAATGAATGCCACTGATTTGTCGAAAAATGATCAATGTCATGGCGATGCAACCAATGAGTCAGTGGATTTTCTGAAAGGAGTTAATATTATACAGGTTCAATTTTTGTACGACTCGACCCAATTTTTAATGGATTTAAGAAATTCCCTTAAAAGTACAGATCAAAATATTGAGGTTCAGAAGGAATATTATTGGTATATTCTATTAATCATCGAAATATAGCGTTATATGATATGATAAGCAAATAATATATATTATAAAGTTGAACTTGACCTTCTGTCCGTTTAAACATTATTAAACTTGATATGCTTTAAGAAAAATTGAAATATACGTAGAATATAATTCAATGGATCTGCAAGATTTTTACTTCCACTTTAAACATTATTAAATGGAAGTTCTTTTATGTTTTTTCTGTCTTTTCGTAATGTTATACGTGGTATATCACATTTGATTGCCTTAACTTTAATATTGTTTAAAGTGGAAATAAAAAGGCAACTATTCACGATATATTTTTTGAGTTTGAACATTTACTAATGAATTTACAGAGTTACGTCACTGATTATATCCAGTATCGTGTGCACCTACAGAACGGCTACTGTCCGTATTTACCAGAAATCCCATGTTCGGACGACTATCGATTTGAGTTGATTCGAGCAGTTGCCTTAATTTTTGAACAAAAACATGAAGAAGAGCTCACAAATATGGTTACAACGTTATGCCAGCATGGAAGGCTTACATTTCAACGATATGTTGAGGTCAGCAGATCCATGACATTTATCTATATGTTTTTGAAAGACAATTATTAGTTTACTTAAATTGGCTTCATTGCCTTCAACTTTTATGTGGTGGTCAACTTTCTCTGAATTAGCTGATAATAATTAGTGGAGTCAACGACTTTACTCTTTGTATGTATTTGTTTCATTCAAAAAAATGCGACTTTATAATTATCAACTTGGATTCTCTTTCCAGCTGCATACAATTACATACATATTCTTGTTTTTTCTATTAATCATAAAGATCTCTTGGCAATAGAAGGCATCATTGCATTCGAGAGAGATTTAATGGTACTCATCTAGCTATTGCTTTGATGATATTAATGCAATTTTAGTAATTTAGGATAGTAAATATTCATTATTGCAGGTTGTAGAATGTTTTGCGCAAAACGATGACGACGATGAACGAGGTGAACAACTATCATATGGACGGTTGGTGGCACTAATTGCATTTGCTGGATTAGTTGCAATGAAACTTTGTGACATGGGGATGTTTTCGGATGTCTCAATCATTGCATCATACACATCCAAATTCTTACACAAGCGGATCGTTTTAACATGGCCGCAGAACAAACGTTGTTGGGTAAGCGAATAAACTAATTTACTTTAATACTTTTTTCAAAAATTATTTTTCAGAGTTTTTTTTTGAACTTCAAAGCAATATACGATGATTTCATCTCATTTTAATTAATCAGAGCAAAATTTAAAAATGAATAGAACAGAAATTCATAACTTGCTAATCCTATTGTAGAAGCTGCAAATTTTCAAGATAAACAGAACTGAATCAAGTGGAAATAACGCTAAATTTCTGAAGCTATAATGTAAAACACAAAACATTTTGAAATATTTAAGAGTATCAATTAAACAAAACTTACAACTTTATTTTTCTACGGTAAAAACGAAAGAAGTGCAGATCAACATGACTACTTGATTTTTCCTATTAAATAGCACCATAAATTGATATAAGTGTTCCAGACCCTCTTTTTTGGCTCATTTTTCCTTCACTGGGGAGCTGACATTTTATGTTATGTTGTAAGATATTTGAATTACACATATGAAACGAAAGATGATGATATGAAATTTTGGAAATTCTGATAATTGCAAACATTCTTAATACATACATTCAAATGGTTCACAGATTTGGTTTATATATTGATTTATTCGCGAAATTGTCACATAATAATGGATATTGATTTTAAATTTCCAATTACCGTCTTCGGTCTCTTAATTTTAGCCTATTTATTTGAAAAATGGTGTTTCACATAAGTACAGTTCTTTCTGCTAATTTCAGGAGAACTTTTTTGATCGCGCGAAAATAATTGTTGATAGGAATGAAACTGAAGAGAATGAACAACTTAACTTAAAATCGGAATGCAGTCGGTGGTGGCTATCAATTAGAGCGTTGGTGATATTCGGTATGCTTGGTATCGGTGCTGTCACGTTGATTAAAACAGTGCTTAAAGCACGATAATTTATAAATGAAGCAAGATAATTGGTATTTAGAGTATATATTCACTAATTTGGTTAAAGCACTTTCCATGTTTTGCGAAAATAGGAATTTTTCTGCAAAGGAATTTCTTCATTGATGATTGGTGATTCAAACATTCCAATTTTGTCATTCGTTGTTTAATGTCACCACTGTTTTTAGCAATTAATTTGTATACACTTGAAAAATAAATTGTTTTACGGATTCCTTTTTTTGTTTTTTCTATGCAACCTTGGAAATTTGGTTTATCATCCAGATAAAGGTTTATGCATTTCAAGATGGGCAATAATGATATACGATTATGTTCGTATAAAAATTTTCTGGACGCCTATCAAATACTGCGAGCTCCGAAATGTGAGTAATATGGAGTTATTGGACAGTTTCTTGGAATTACCGGTATCGAAATTTTATACTTCATCTTCTGAAGACATGGGAATTTGTTGAAGTGACGCTTTCGGTTTACAGAATGAAAAATATTCACATATTTGGGAAGTCCGTTATTTGGGAATGTATCAAATGTCAAAAGCGTACGTTCATCCATCGATGGAGCAAATTTATAAGATGGCAGGAATTGGTGGCGGAAGAGGTGGAAGAGAAGAAAGTTGAAAATTCTATCAAGAATTATATCAAACTAGCAGGAGGTGCATATATTTCTCCTGAACGCGTCGAAGATGGTTAGTTTGTGATATTCACATTTTCATATGAAATACAATATATATATTCAAAAGTAATAACGCGTTGCCCGCACATTTCAACTCGATATGATCTCCGTAGAGTTTCTGTTCTAATTCAATTGAAATTTAATTAAATCGAACCATTAATTTAAAACGAAATTTTTTTTTCAAACAAATTGAACAAAAAAAATAATGTATCAGTTTTTTATATCGTACCTTATTGTCTTTGAGTTTTGAATTATTAGTTGAATTTAATTAAATTTCGATCCAGCATTTTTTGGTAATAATCGGAATAAGATATGAAATAAAAACTGATACACTCCTCTTTTTGTTGCGAAAACTAAGACTGACTGTAATTGTTTGCTTGATTGACTTTTTTTTATACCGAATAATAACTCTTTTGAAATCATTGTAATCAATTTGTTGGCAAATCTGACAACATCAACAACTTTCATAAAAAGCTTTTGATAAAAGTTAGATTGAAAATTTTTATTTGTTTCATTAGCATCAATCTTTTGGTGAAAACTTCAGCTCTGCCGAGAAAACAACCGGAGGATGTACCAAATGATATCGAATTTAATACATTTTATACTCAATTGAGATATGTCGACCATAGTTTGGATAATTTACGTCGCTTTAAACGTTATCAACATTTCCAACATCTCCAGTATGATCAAAGGTAATTGTTCTTTTTGCTTTTATTGTCATTAGTATTATTATTCAGTGAATTTATGCATAATATTTACGATAATAATTGGATTAATCAGGTATTACTGATTTAACTGATGGGAAAGATAATCTTGAAGGAAAACTGACAAATCATCCGAATGTATTAGATTATTTTGGATCTATATAATTGAACGATTTCTCAATAACACCTAAAACGCAGAGCAATATTATGACATTATTAAATCAGATTATCAAAAACTTGAGGATTTAAGAATTATATACATGAATTGAAGATATATGTTAGTATGCAAATATACACTGCAAAAATTATTAACTTATGACGATTATATTTTATCATTTTCATACTTCATGTTGATTTATTATGGAGCACATCGAAGCCAACATAACAGAATAATTCAAAGAGCTCGGATTTAATATGAAATTTTGAAAAATTTTCGATGTTTGAAAAATACACTATACAGGATCGATTAGAGACTGATTGATCAAAAGGAAGCTTGCGATAAAAGTAGATAATTAAATGGCTAAGAATGTTAGTCTTCCTAGGGACAAAGAAGAAATTGACTCGTGTTTTAGTTATCATTATTGAGACAACACGAATTGAACGAGATGTTCAAGTGGTAATGGACAAAATAGTTATGAGCAATATTTTTCAAAAATAAAATTGCAATAAGAAAGGAAAAAAAAAATGACATTTATTTAATACGATAATTATTATTCTAATCAAATACATGGAAGAGAATAAATATCACAGAATGAAAACAATTAAGGTAGATGAATACATAGAATGATCATATTTAACTAATTCCGTATTTTCGGGCAATTTTTTTCAATATTAAATAATCTTCCTTGGTACCTTGATCAAGTTCAAAAATTCTATCCAAATCATTGGCTGGTTCATGCTCATAATTTACATTGCACCAGTCAGCATTACAGCAACATAGCGTACCATACATTTCTTGATCTTCTTGAGTTGGGCGTATTGCAATATTTTTGGCACAATAAATTTTACTAAATGCACTATCCATCACTGTACCAACTGGGTAATTTTTTTCTTCCGTTATATTGTTAACCATAATCTTAAATTTAAATTCACAATTTTTTGATACTACATAATATACATTATATATATATATATATATAACGTATATATAATGTACATTTTACTATATATATATAGTAAAATATGTAAACGATGTTAATCATTAATAATTGAGCTTAATTTACAAATATGATAAAATTTTGATAGTCTCATATCATTTTTACTGATTGTTCCCATAATAAAAGGGAGAGAATAATTGATTACATTCCTACCTCACATACAAAACTATTATCACAACCGCGGATAGTCTTTTTATATACCACGAAGTCACTTCCATTAAATGAAAAGCAATATCCATTTGGGCCACACTCTTCTGCTTGACTTTTTTTCATGCTCGAAAAACATTTCACAGAAAATGCAATTGGAAATGATACGAATAATATGATAATAACTAATGATTTCAAATAATATGATAGCTTAGAACGGCTGCACATTATTGGTAAAGTGAAATTCAGTAAAATGATAGTTCATTATTATCGTGCTATTTTATTTGCATTAAATAACAATAATTGAATTTAGGCAAATTTTGATTGGTATGAAATGTATAACTTCAGAAGAGATTTGTCTTGTTGGAAAAATGATTTAAATTTAAGGATGAGAATTTTTTTAATGTTAAATTATCATTTTTTATTATTTTAGAAATTTCTGTAATTCTCGGAAAAATTTATCAGAGAATTTTTTTTGCGGTTTTTTTTGAGGATTACTTTAATTTCGATATTTTCTTTTATTTATTACGAAAAAAAGAAAAGCAAGGGGATCCATCTCATTAAGTAATTGGAAATTTTAAAGTTAGAAATGATCTAGCTTATTAAGAAAAAAATAAGGAAAATAACGTTGTACCATCATGTTGGAATAATCTAAGTCTTCTAACATTTTAAGATAAATATGAATGCAGTAGATTATGACTGTGACATTGTGGTCGAATTAATGGTATTGGTTTGTTTAAGTTTTATTTTATAATTTTTTTAGGTTTATTCCGGAACGTTTATTATTTCTTGGTCCAGATTTAGCCGCAGCTCATTTTTTGGTACATCGCGGAGCAGCCGTGAAGTTTGTTGGCGATAATATATGGATTAAAAAGGATGACAAGGGAAATTATGCATTACCAGGACAAAAAATTCCCGGTTTATACATTGAAGCAATTGATGCAAGTGATACAGAGTTGATGTTCGAAGGTTTGTTCGAAATATTTAAATTTTATTTTCGAGTTTGTTTCTAAAATATCACTAACAATACTAATAATGACAATAAAAGTAATAATAAATAATAAATAACAAATGACAAATAGTAAGTAATAAGTAAATAATTAATAAATAGTAAATAATTAATAAATAACAAATAGTAAATAATAAATAATAAAATAGTAACAAATAATAATAATAAATAATAATAATAAGCAATAATCGTTGAAATAATATTCGATGATTGCTGGATAACACACATTGCGTTTTAATTTTTATGCCAGAAAAACTAATGTAACGATGTGATATTGATAGTCTTAGTAGGACTTTGTAAAATTTTTCCTTTTTTGCATATGAATGATCAGTGTTTAATTTAGGTTTAGAAAATCTGGCTAACTTAAGCCATTTACGATTGCTAAGACTTGCTGGTTGTTGTTATGCGGACGATTGGATGATGTCACGGATTGGTGCATTGTTCTCTGAGTCACTTGAAATGCTGGATCTCAGTGATTGTAATCGAATCACAACCAAAGGTTTGGCTGGCCTACGGACGCTCAAGAAATTGCGCTATCTTCGATTGGAAGGGATGGATCATATCAAGGTATCCATACTGTCATTACAGGATATTCGTACTGTCATCACGTTGTTCAGGAAACGGTCTGATTTCTTCTAATTTCTGTATTTTCGTACGAAAAAAATGATGTAGCGAAAAGACAAGGATAACTGTATTCCTTAAATGATCATTATTTGTTTATGAATGATTATTTACCATGGCAATATTTGATTATTTTCATCCTTTTAAGTAATGTAAAAAAATGAAATGAAAGAGTGCGAAATATACTTACAACATCTTAATGGTTATTTTAGGATATTGCAAAAGCGGCTTTATTATTAGAAGAATCAATTCCGAATTTGAGAGTATTTGGGGTCAATTATGAAAATGCTATGCAATCATTGCAGAGAGAAATGAAACTTCTGGCAAACGAAAGGGTTGTTACTGATGCGAAAGGTTGTGTACTGAAACTGTTATAACGCAGAACTAAATATAGATTCTGTAATTGACTCAGCTTTATATGAAGAAAAAGCGAAAAAGAGAAAGGAAGAAAGATTTGGAACATTTGTTCTGAAATTAAATTTTGAGCAAATACTCTGATCAGAGTGCATCTTGTTAGAGTTTTCCAAAATTTTTCAAATATTTTATGTTGAATAAATTACAGAACTTCCAATACTAGTCATATTTCATGTGAAGAAATGGACTTCTCATTGCTTGCAGGTAATGCATATGTTGAGGATGATGATGGACGATTATTTTATGTCGCTGGCCGAGTAAACGAACGACCTGCTGTCACGGATGATGATAAACCATTGATGACAAGGTTTTGTTTGCCTTTTTAATTTTAAGCTCTAATTTAAATTCTACTGTTTTTATTTTTTACACCTATTCCAAGTATGTGTCATTGCAATTGTTTACATCTGATATTGCAGAAGAGTAAAATAAAAGATATAAAGCAGTATTTGCTTTAACGTCTTTTTAAAACTGTTAATTGTTCACTCAGTTTATGAATTGAACGGAGTTAAACATTAACAATTTATAACGTGAGCTTTTTCCAGAAGATTAGCATATGACTTCGCTTGTTTTGTTACTTGAGAACGTATTACATGAATAATGAATTTTTGTTTTGTTTGGAAATTTTTCATTCGGATGTTTTATAGCACAATTCGACGTGAACTTCCGGAAATGGAAATTGCTGAATTTGAGCGATTGGATGAACTTTCGGGTGGTAAATTACGACATTTATTGGTGGGTTCACCTAGTGGATATTCGTGGACACAAGAGGTAATGCAGAAATAATTTTCTTTTTTTCTTTTATCATTTTATAAAATGGGAATACATGATTTAAAAATAATAAAGATGGTGCAAAATGCAAAATTATCGGAAACATTATTCATTAGAATTTAGCATTAATTTTTCGTTAAAATATCGTTTGGTTACGGAATTTCTTGATGTTTTAAATTGCTTTTGTATAGTGAGATTTATTTGGATAGTGGTTTCCATGAACAATTGATTTCCGACGTTTTTTAAAGGTGGAAACGATTCTGAGTTTTGAAGAAAAATGGAAGAAAAAGTATGGTATTCCGGTAGATCAGAAACTTTTACCGAAATCAAAGCGAACTTTACAGCTGGAAGATTCGGTGAAACTAACCAATAATTCATTATCTGATAAACAGGAAGAATATATATTAATAGAAGATAAGGTGATGAAGGAAAAAGTTAGTGTGTGAGTTTTTTCACTTTTATTTGTTTTTTTTAATTTGCTTGGTGACAGTAACTAATGTTGTTTTCTTGAAAACATGACAACATTGCTTGAGGATTTTAGCAAATTAATTTCAAAGCTATGTGAATAGAATTTTCTAAAGCTTATCCTGAACAATTGTTGTTATTCATAGTTTTAGCTTTAGTCATGATATAATAGGATGTCTGTGTCTGTTTTTATGTGATCAAATAGTATTGTTTATATCGGTGTAAATCTTGTTTTATTTGTACCGTGATTTGACTGCATATATTTATTTTTAGATAGTCAAGTCTTGATATGTTTAACATTGACTCTTGAAATAAATAACCTATTCTCATGTTATACTCTAACTAGAATTGGAAAATGCTCAAAAGGTTCGATGTAAATTTGATGAGGTGTAATTGAATGAGGGATAATATACACTTTAATCTGTTTCATTTACTTTATTCCATGCTAAATCTTTATTACAAGCATAGAATTGTCAATTAAATGCTTACTAATTAAGCTTCTATAATTAAAATGTTAATGAATTTCGAAAAAAAGGAAACGTTTTTTAATCATTATTTTCATATACGATAATAATACGAAAATGTAAATTTTAATAATTTTTCATTTTTCTTATCAAACCATAGTTATAGTAAGCAATAAATTGACTACACGCATAACAAATAGTTTCAATTCTCATAAATTCATGTAAAATTGTTACTCATTATGAATGTATTTATTGGAATGTTAAGCAAGTTGAAATTAAAATTCAATAAAGTATATTTTAATTCAATATTTAAAATTGCATTTTATTTCGATAAATAAAATCATTTAACAATGATTGATTTGAATTAATATTAATAATAGAATCAGATAGGTATATCGATGAATGGGGATCAGATAGGTATATCGATTTATATTAGTGTGAAGAATTGACCAACAAGTTTTTGCGACATAAAATTTGCTTGATAAATTTTCCAATTCACCTTCTTTAAAAAAGAAGAGATAAATTCGAGGGACGAAATAATGCTTTGGTAAAATTTTATTTTTTCACTTTTTATTAAATCAGTAATCGAAGATATGAACAAGGATCAGATAGATATATCGATTCATATTATTAATAATTGAAAATTTTCAATCATTTCTTGACAGTGCAAAAATTAACCCCCAAAAATAACTTTGGTAAGTTTGGAATGTTAGAAGCAGGTAATTTCAATCAATTTAACCTGATTAATTTTTACCTATGGGGATAAATTTGTATACGCATTTCCCCAGTTTAATCTTTGCAGTTGAACAAATACAACTGAATAAACAGTTATAAATTAATAAACATAAATTTTAGGTAGAAATATTACTGAGGTGTCCGTTAAATTAATTTCTGAAATTATCAACAATTATTAAAACTAATTAGTTTAAATTGAATTTTTCTTTTAGTAAATAAATCGGAAATACTTTTAATTATTTTTATTAAAAAAAATTTAATTACAAAATTTAATTTCTACCCTAATTTTCATCCCAATTTTTCTTTTCCCTTTTTTCATCCATTAATAAAAATTTTCAACAATTATTAGTCATCAACAAGCACCGCATGTTTTCGCACATAAATTCATTTTTTCATCACATTCATTGAAAAAAAGTGCTAATTTACATATTATATTATTGCTCTGATCTTCGCATAATTTTACCGGTTTCTTTGGTGTTTTATTGTTAATGTAATTATTGTCCTTATTATTGCCCTTGTTGTTGTTGTTGTTGTTGTTGGCGTTATTTTTGACGTTATTGTCCGAGCAAGAACCGCACGAAAAGGGACAAATATTTTTCATCGAAAAATGTGGAAAAAATCCATCACAATCAAATACTCTCACCAATAATGGGCATGAAGAATCATGATCATGGCAAGCTGGAAAATTTGTAAACGATAACATTTTATAAGACTTCAATCAACATATTAGAAATAAACCTAATTTATTTATTAAAGATTATATTTATAATATGATTATGATTATATTTTGATAATATGATTATGATTATATTTTGATAATATGATTATATTAATATGATTAATATGAATAATATGATAATTATTTTGATAATATGATAATATTTATAATATAAAATAATTCACTCTATCAATTATTTATAGATTTTAATTTTTTCTTGTTTAAAATTTTTATAATTCAACATACTTGTATTATGTTCAGAAATGACTGTTGATATACCAGTAGATATAATAGTACTAGGAGGGATAATAGTAGTAGCTAAATGTCGTGTTTTCTTAGCATTGATATTGTTGATATTAATAGGCACTTCTGGTGGTAAGCCTAATGTTATTATCGATCCTATTTCAGCCTTTATCGTTGTCGCTGCTGTTGTTGATGTCATCGGTTCATGTATCAATTGATCAGAACAAGTACCACATGATTTCGGGCATAAATCATTAGCAATTGTATCACTGGTCAAGCAATAATCGAAAATTGGTAATGACCAAATGATGCAACGCCAACTTTTATCAGTACATTCATCAATAGGCTGAAAGTAAAGATAATTGATAAGAAATGTTGCAAAGATTATTTGAAATTCATTAATTAATCATTATAAAAAGATGCAGAAAAATAAATCAAATGAATAATTATCAAAGAGAAAAAAGAAAATAGTCGAAAGATAAAAGGAATGAAATTTACTAATATTTACATTTACTTAAATTATTTTATAATTCGTTTAATTGCTTATATTAATTTATATTTTTGCTAATTAAAATCTTTGATACTTTGCTAATTATTATATTTTTTGCTAATTAAAATCTTTGATAAAGAAAAGAAAAAAATCAAAATTATATGAATTAATCACTCATTTTAATTTTTGAAATTTTATTAGTAATTAATAATTAAAAGAAATATTTAAAAAAACCGAAACAAAACGAAAATATAATAAGTAGTTTAACTTTAACTTATTATTATAATATGGATAAAAAAAAGAATAATTGACCATCACTAATTAAGGCAGTTTAAAATATGATATTGTGAATAAACAACATTATCACACCATCACAATCATCAACCATTACTACCAACAGCGACAACAACAACAACAACAACAACAACAACAACAACAACAACACAGTAACAATGACGACAACAACAACAATAACGTTAAAACAATAAACAATAGCAACAACACAAAGACAACACAACACATTGAACAATTTAATACATATCGTTGTAATACGCATAAATTAAACTAAACTAAATATATATATATATATAAGAAAGAATAATAACTATTAATAATAATATAAAAATAAGTTGCCTTGTTTACAAATGTGTTTCTTTGTTTACAAATATAATTTTGTTTATGCTTATTTTTTTTTTCATTTTCATTTACCTATGTGTTTAATTTTAATCCATTGTTTATTGATAGAATTTATGCTATTTATCAAATTATTATGCCATTCAATTAATTTTTGCTTAATCGATGTTTGTCGGAAAAATCTAACTTTGAGTGGTACTATTGATTTCGTAACCTCAGCATTATCATCAGTGGAATCTTCATCAGTAATTTTTTCTCCTGATTTTCGTGGACAAGAATATAATTTATTGATTTTTCGTATATCGATTTTTGATAACGATTCACGTTGTCCCATTCTTCCTGCACCAGGCTAAAAAAGAAAAATATTCCACAAAATAATTTAATATAATTAATAATATAATTAATGATATAATTAATAATAAATTAATAATAATTTCAAATGTAATTTGTTCATTTAATTATTTGTAATAATTATTATTAACACTTAAATTTAAAATTTTAAATTATAATAATTTTAAATTTTATAATAACTTGCAAGCTTATGCTAAATTATTTCAATATTTAAAACAATACATTATAAACAAATAAAATTTTAAAACTATCATTTAAAATTTTTTTTTCTTATTTTTAATTAATTAATTGATTAAAAAAAAATGAAAACCTTCAGAGCAATAATTGTCCGACGTCCATTGCCACTAAATGCATATGGTCCATAATGCATAATTGATGAATAATCATATGGCTCACTAAGTAAGTCAATATGTCGTAGACTATGCTTATCAAATTGATCTTCCGCACCACGCATCACATTTTGCCACATAATTTCAATATAGTTATCACGATCAGGTCTTAAAATTAAAAATTAATCAATTTTTTTTCTCGTCGATCAATTAATCCTGCTAATAATAATTACTATTATTGTCATTATTATTATTATTATTATTATTAAGATTATTATTATTATTATTATTATTATTATTATTATTAATGGCCAATTAATTAATCAATTATTATATTAATTATTATTTTATTGAATTAACTATCACTTTATTGATAATAATTAATAATTATCATCATTATTTTTATTATTTATTATTGTTTATTACAATTATTATTGTATTAAATCACAATACCTGGATTGTTCATGAAAAAAGCCAACAGCATGCATTAATTCATGAATTATGGTACCGGATTGAATACAATCCGCTTCTAATGAAACCGGTTGACGTCCACCAGCACGTCCAACTAATGAATAGCAACCATCATGTGGCGTAATGTAAAGATAATCATCATGTTGATTAATATCACGTGGGATAAATCGAACGCAACTTCTATCATGAAATGCTTTCATTGCTTTTGCAATTACTGAACGTGAGTATGGCCCGTATCGTGAACTAATAGTATATGGTATTTCACCGCTTGGCCAACGTCTAAAAATTAATGCGTGAAAAAAAAGAGCCTACTTATATCTATAAGTAAAAATTTTATACGTTAATTATTTAAAAAATTTTAATAAATTAATAATTATATATATATATATATATGACAAAATTTGAATGAGATAAATTTTAAAAAGTGATAATTTTCAAATTTCATACGTTAATTATTAAAAAAATTTTAATAAATTAATTATTAGAAATTTAATGAAATTAATTATTAGAAATTTAATGAAATTATAATAAATTCATTCAAGTGAAATAATTTCTAAATAATTATTTATACATAATTGTTGTAAAATATAATATTACCTGTAAAATTGTCTTACAGCACTTCGTTGTAAACGATTATTTCGATAATCAATAAATTCTTTAAAATTTGGTAAAACAATATCACCTTCACTCATATTACCCATTGTTGGATCAGATCTTATTTGAATACCTAATAATGTAAGATCAAATTCTTCTTTAGGTACTTTTGCAAAATCATCAGCTGTTAGTATTGTTTCTTCATCAATTCCATTTTCAACGATAATCTAAAACGAACAAAAAATAATTTAAATATTAAATATTACGAAAAATCGATATTTAAATTCTTTTTTTAATAATAATTTTAATATTGGCAAAAATTCTTTTTTATAAATTTTATTAAAATTTAAATTTAGTAATATTAAATTAAATTTGTATTTTTTAATTTTTTCAATTTGAAATTTTATAAATTTAAATTTAATTAATAGAATTATATAAAATAATGAAATTTGAAATATCTTACATCTTCAAATTTTATAGCTATTGCTAAATTTAGCAATAAACCAAATTGAATAATTAAAAAACAATCGATTTTAGATTGTATTGCCATAATTGAAGAAAGCTGCTACTGAAATTAATAAGTTGTAAGTAATATATTTTCAGTAAGCAATTAGTAAACATTGTTTATTTTGTTTTGTTGACAAGTAATAGGCAGAGAAAAAAATATTGAAAATATCATTTGAAATATATTTAAAATGAAGTAAAACAAATTTACCTTTTTCATATATATATTTAAAAATTAAAATTGTACAAACATAATGAATTAATTTCGAAAGATTTTGAACAATAATTAAGCAACGTTTAACGTATTTATTTGAAAATAATTTTTCAAATATTATTCTTTCGGCATATAATTTGGTATTTCAACCAGCTATTTGTTTCCAAAAATGAATAATTAGAACGTTGAAGCAATAAAAAAAGGC